GCTATTGCCAAGGCTATTGATTATGTTCCACAAACTGACAGCAAGGCCCTATTGCTGAAGGCAACACTTACATATCTCATTGGACACAAAGAAGTAGAGTTGGTGCCTAACTAAAGACTTCATCCCTATGAACTAGTATCCATGATACTAGAAGTTACTCTGCAATGCTACCCCCCAAAATAAACACCAACCCAACTATAAACCCTTTGATCTACAGTGGTGACTTGTCTGCATGATTTGCTGATGTAATAGTGGCACAAAAGTTGTGGGAGTAACCAACTACTATCTGATTGGATTTAAATCCCACTCCATGATAAGGAACCCACTCCTGACACTGCTCAGGTGACCAAGAACCTAAAACTAGATAGGCCATGGAACTAGGGGAAATACCAAATAGTATTGTTCTGCTAAGGAATATAGCAATAAAATGACTATAAATAACATTCTGCGATATCCATAGATCAGTGTCTCACTTAGCCAGCACTCAAGAAGCTTCTTCTTGCAGGAGATGGGAAATAATACAGAGACTCACAATAGGACAAAGTGCAAAGAATGAAAGACCTTGGAACACTCAGTCCTAAATGGGATGTCTTCATCAAAACCCTCATATCAAGGTTCAGGGAACATTTACAAAATGAGAGGTAGAAGATTTGTAAGAGTCAGTGGGGGTTGAAGACACCAAAGAAACAAGGCCTTCTAGAGTAGTAAGGACTGAAGCACATATGAACTCAATAGAGACCATGGCAGCAGACATGGGGCCAGCACAGGTCCAAGTCAGATGGGGTCCTAGTTCTGAGAGGGGAACTGGACACAAACCCCCATTCCTAACCCAAAAGCTATCTCCAACTGACATCTGCTCACAAAGGAAAAATCAGTTTTCTCCAATGGAATCTCATTGGGTATACAAACCACACCTAAGGGCAGGCCCCAGGCCCAGTAGTAGACAGCCAACACAAAATGAACCCAATGATGCTTTTTGAGACGTTTGGCCTCATTAATGCTTTGGATTGGCATTTTTTTAACCTTACTTGTCTTTTGTTTATCTGTTATAGTTTCTGATTTTGTGTTTTTATGGGTTTCATGTGTGCATTTATGCACATCTCTGTGTATGCATTTCTCATGCTTTTTCTTTGTGTTTTTTTCTTTTTCTGTTTGCTTTGTTTTATTTTTGTTTGTTTTTTATTTAACTGTTTTCTTTTTTAATTTTATAATTTAATTTAATTTTACATATCAATCATGGATTCCCCTGTCTTCCCTCCTCCTGCCCCCCTCCCTGCAACCCACCCCCCATTCCCATCTCCTCCAGGGCAAGGACTCCCCTGGGGATTCAAAGAGAGAGGAAGAAGGCATAGAGTTGGATGGATGGGGTGGTGAGGAAGATCTGGGAGGAGATGAGGGAGGAGAAAACATGATAAGAATACACTCGATGAAAAAAGTATTATCAAAAAAAAAATTTGTTCTATCTATGTGAATAGAGACATATCTATATATACATCCACAAACAAATAAATGTAACTAGAATTGCCTTTTCTTAACTAAGCATCACATCATAAACATCTATAAATTTAAATAGTAATAGCATGTTAGTGGATTGAGTGCTGACCCTCTCCCCCAACCCCTTTTAAATTTCTGTATAAAATGTGAATGTAAACTTATTTTGATAAAAAGTCTTTGCATGTGCAATTAAATTTATGATTGCCAAAGGAGATCACAATGAATGATTAAAGTGGCCCCAGATAAACTACTAAACATCCTTATGCAAGTAAAGAAGGAGATAAGACAGAAATTTTATCTGAAGATTTTGGGGCTGCACCCAAGACTTCAACTGACTCCTGCGAAGCTTCTGAATGAAAGGACTCTGCCAACCTCCTGCCTTCAGATGGCTGAACTTCAAACCTGTGGGAGAATAAATTTCTGCTAAACCACTCACATTTGGGCAATTACAACAGCCCTAGAAAAGCATATGCAGGTGTTATGGTTTATTTAACCATTTTCAATTGCAATGGAAGAATTCCTTTTGTCCTTTTGCCACTGTGAACAATTGTAGAATGCGGACCCTTAGTATTTAGTCATTCAACATGATTTTGATATAACCAAATAGGCAGTGATTCTTCTGGATATTTGGGATGATGAAACAAGACAAAGGTTTCAAAATTGTCTTTCTTGAGTTTGCATTCCACTAAAAAGAGACAGAAAATCACTGTCACATGACAAATACATAACTTATAATTATGCTAGAAGATGTGACTTGCTACAAAATAAAGAAAAGAAACAGAATAATAATGAAGGAATTCGGTTTAGAAGGACAGGACTTCCAATTTAAGTGACTTGCTTGGGGATACTATATTGAACAGTTGATGTTTATTTGAGTGAAGATAGATGACAAAGTATAGTCAGGCTTTTCTTTCCTGCCTGACAGTTCCCAAATAACCACTCAGAGGCTTAGTACTACTTATAAATGCTGGGTCCAGCTGATAGCTCAGGCTTGTTACTGGCTAATTCCTTTTTTTCCTTTAAAAGGTTTTTCTCCATTTTAGATTCCAACCAAAGTTCCCCCTCCTTCCCTCTTCCCACTCACCTCCATCTTCCACCACCCCATCTCCATCCACTCCTCAGAGAGGGTAAGGCCTCCCATTGGGAGTCAACAAAGTCTGGCATATTAAGTTGAAGCAGGACCAAGCCCCTCCCCCCTGTATCAAGGCTGAGCAAGGTATTCTTCCATAGGGAATGTGCTCCAAAAAGCCAATTTATGCACTAGAGATAAATCCTGGTCCCACTGCCAGTGGCCCCATGAACTGCCCAAGCCACACAACTGTCACCCACATTCAGAGGTCCTAGTTTGGTCCTATGCAGCTGTCAGTACAGAGCCAGTGAGCTCCAACTAGCTCAGGTCAGCTGTCTCTGTGGGGTTCCCCATCCTGTTTAAATTAACCCATAATTCTTATCTATGTTTAGCCATGTGGCTTGGTACCTTTTCTCAGTACAGCATTCTCATCTTGCTTTTCTGCATTTGAAGGAGACTCTCTGACTCTACCCTTTCTCTTTCCAGAATCCTCCTAGTCTGGTTCTCCCACTCAATCTTTTCCTGCCCAGCTATTGGCCAATCAGCTTTTTATTAGCCAATGAGAGTAATACATATTCATACTGTACAGAAAGATTGTTGTATAGCAACAAAATGGTTAAGTTAACCCCATAATTATCCAAGGAAGAGCTTTTAAGCAAAGGAAAAGTCAGTGTAAAATGCCAAAGGATGTGTTTTTACAATAAAGTCTCTGAAATGTAATTACTAAATCAAAGAGGATGAATACTTTTAAAGGTCTTCATAATTTCAGTGCCCAAAAGACTACATGCACTGAAATCCCATTGAAATGAGCATGCAACCAGGAATGGTGGTATAGACTTGGAAGTGCAGCTACTCATGAAACTGAGGGAGGAGATTCATGACTTTATGGTAAACCTAGGCAACTCAGTGAAATCCTATTTGAAAATAAAGATTGTTTAATAGGACTTGAGATACAGGGCAGTGGTAGAGGACTGGCCTTGCATGTGCTATGATCTCTGTGAAGTCATTTTTACTGCAAAAGAAGAGAAAACGCACATCAGTAACTATTTTCCAAACTTCAACAATAATGTTACCTCTTCATCCATCAACTCAAAGCCAACTTCATCCTTTATATTTCCATTTGCTAGAGACAACGCACCATTTCATAATTTAGCAATCATGTGTATTTATTCCGCTAAGAAGCACCTGGATTGTAAAATGTATGTTTCATTTTTAAATTCTGGTTTTTTATTGTTGTTGTTGTTTTGTTTTGTTTTTTGACACAGGGTTTCTCTGTGTAGCTTTGTGCCTTTCCTGGAACTCACTTGGTAGACCAGGCTGGCCTTGAACTCACAGAGTTCTGCCTGGCTCTGCCTCCCAAGTGCTGGGATTAAAGGCATGTGCCACCACCGCCCGGCTCATATTTAAATTCTGAATTGGGAGAGTTTATTCTGTGGATTAGAAAAGTTTTCTCTGTGACTCATGATTTGTAATACATTATGAAAATATCTTGCCAGTTTTGACCGTGTATGTTCTGTCCAATAATGTTTATTTGATGTGCAAAAATATTTTTAAGTTCTTGTACTAAAATATACCTATTCTTTTTCTTTGATTCGCTTTGAGGTATTACTTGATTATATCTCAGCTCTAGAAAAAACATGGATATCAAAAATACATATACAAATCTTACAAATATATATGTATGTGAGAGTTTTGCGTGTATGAGGATTTGATGCACTTGTATGTATGTGTTCATGTGTGTGCATGTATGTACCTGAGGTTGATGTAAGATGTTTCCCTCCATCATTCTCTACATTATGATTAAAGCAGGATCTCAATTCAGAGCTCATCACTTCAGTCAGTCTAGCTCACCAGTTTGCTGCAGGAATGCCATCGCTGCCTCCAAGGCTCTGGGATTACAAACAGGCTGTTATGCCCATCCTAAATTTACATGGTTGCTGGGGATAAGTTCTGGCCCCCATGCTTGCATGACAGCAGACTTTGAGACCCCAGGTGTGGATTTTCTTTATATTGCATAGGCCTATTTTCAAGTGATCATATTTTGTAAGAATAATTAAGTTTTAATGATTCATAACTCTGTGAGTGTGTGTGTGTGTGTGTGTGTGTGTGTGTGTGTGTGTGCGCGCACACACACAATGAAGATTAAACCTGGGCTTGACAAATACTAAGCAAATACTTTCCAACTTAACTGTATTCTCAACCTTAGGTAGAAATTTGCAAGTACTGCAGGCAAATTTGTTTTCATTAGCAAAGTGAAAAACTAAAATGCTCATATTATGTAAAATATTTTTGAATGGAAGCTTGAAAATCTCACCAATGGTAATAATTTAAGTATATAATCTGGGTGTTTATTTTAAACTTTAAAGTTTTTCAATACCGTAAAATGCATTTGTGTGAGACATTTTAGATTCAGAGTAAATTTTTAAAACGCTCTACATACATTATTGTCCCCTAATTAATTTTATTTATATCATCATTTGTAAAGTATATTCACACATCACAATACTACATATTAAAATATGTATACACAATTATACAGCAGATACTACATCTTGACAAAAAAAAAAAAGAGAACTAAATCTAAGACAAAAAATGAAACAGACACAGTAAATTCAATGGAGTTGGCCCGATAGGACATTAATTTAACACTAGGCTTCCTGACTTAAAGAACACTGATACAACAATACCAGGTCTATCCGTGTTGTCACATAACAAATAAATGCCCTCCGGGGCTTCTGTAACCTTTGCTTGATTGAATGACTGTCCCTGAGAGGTTCAGTGGAGCATCTCCGACTTCATAGCGGTTTCCATCATTCTAATATTTATAAATAGCAATAAGCAGCAGGCCACACACAAAAACAACCTGAGAATAACAACTGTTTTCAAAATACCCAGCAGCCTATTTGTAAATTCTCATTAAGTTAACCCCATTTTAGCTTGTCGTGATCATGGTGTTTTCCAGTTTCCTACAGTGTATGTAAATGGACAAATACTTTAAAATTATCCATAGCTGTTATTCACAAAAGACTGTTTATATGTCTAGTCTCATATTAGAGCACGGTTCATCTTATGAAATGTATGGTGAAAATAATATGTGTTTATTATTCTACAATCATTTGCAATTTTCCCTAGCTTTGATCTTTTAAAAAAATAAGTTGGAGTCACATCTAATATACTCCATGTTATTTTGATTTCATGTTACTTGTGTTGGATGCATAAACTGTTTATGCCCCAAATTCTTCCCTTTCAAAAGATCTTGATCCATCCCTAAATTCGGTAATATATGGCAGCCATAAAATATTTAGGTAAGTTTTGGTTGTGTAGGAGTAACTTTGATAAACAAAAATACCCAAATGAGTAAATATTTTGAATTCTTTAAACTTATTCCATAAATCAGTTAGATGATACATTTAAAAATTATTTTCAATTCCTCACTATCAAAACAGTTACTTGTCCGCCCTCTGCTGGCTTTATGAGAGTAGTTCAACTTTACAAAGTATGTATTTGTAGAGTAGTTTAGCATGGAAAAATTAGAAACACTTGCAAACACTTTAAACATCACACAATTACTTAAGCTATAATTAAAATCCAAGTAAAATTAGCCACTCATATATTTTTCAGTTTTAAAGCACAGCTTAGAGTCATGAGATCTGGAAACTGAAAGGGTATCCATATAAAATCAAATGAATTTGAAGTGTTTAAGAAGGCAGAGGGGAAGAATAAAAGATCCCAAAGAACAGAGCATCCTTTAGTAATTACAAATAATAAGAACTGAACAAAAGAGTTGAGCATTTGTTAATAATTTATCATGAGATAATTGTGCATATTTGTAGACAAAACCAGAGACCTCACCTACACACCCTATTCAAAACTAAATTTTAGATGTAAGTTTAAAACTTTAAATATAAAAATCTAAATCAATATAAAGACTAGTAACTCTTTGAAGAATTGTGTATCTTTAAATAGGGACTGTCAAACATGAGAAACTGAGAAAGTCACAGAAGAGATGACAGTCACATTTAATGACAAATATGTTCTTTTTCTAAAGAGGAACACTCAGTAAAGGCAGAGGCAATGATCGGAGTCAAAAACTGCAAGAGGTATAATTCATAAAGGCACAAAATCTCTAGTATGCATTGAGCATCTATAAATTGGTGAGAAAATAAAAATAACTTGTAGCAGGAATCTTAAAAGTTCTTATTAATGAAATCAAACCTGAGGCCAGTTATTGGGGTGAAGGTTGGAAGATCAGAGAAGCAGAACAAGCCACAGTTACCTCACCTTGCCAGTTCCTCAGCTGATCCTGTTTCCTCAGACCGGATGCCTCTGAGTCTTCATCCAGAATCTCAGCTGAACTGCGGCTCGAAAGCCTGAAAGCTTAACCAGCCAAATGCTTCTAGTTTCTGGTCTTTACGCCTTATATATCTTCCTTTCTACCATCACTCCTTGGGATTAAAGGCTCACTTTCTGGGATTAAAGGTTTGTGTCACATGCCTGGCTGTTTCCAATGTGGCCTTGAACTCACAGAGATCCAGAGGGATTTCTGCCTCTGGAATGCTAGGATTAAAGGTGTGAGTGCCACCATTTTCTAGCCTCTGTATCTAGTGGCTGTTCTGTCTCTGACCCCAGATAAGTTTATTAGGGTACACAATATTTTGGGGAACACAATACCACCACAATAACTCAATGGAAAAAAATAAAGATTTATTTTAAAGAAAATCTTAAAAGATTTCTAAGCTTAGCATGGTTATGTCCATCAGTAGTAACACCAGCACTCAGGAGGCTGAGGTAGAAGCATCACAAGTCCAAAGCTAGCCTGAACTATTCAGGCTGGCCTTCCTCAAGAGAAATCAGGAATATGGCAGGGGAAGAGAAGAGGCAGAAAGAAAATTCTGAAGTGTCAGTAGGCATGTAAAAGTTTTCTCAGCTTCATTAGTAGTCAAGAAAAAATGAAAATAAAATGTAATGTGTAGTAAAGGCTATAAATTACTGACTGATAGGCCAGTTAGCTCAAGCCTGTGCTGACCAAAAATTGAAACCATAACAACAACGTGCAAGCTGCTGCAAGAGTTATATTTTGGCAATAACTATAAATCAAATACACACACACACAACTTTTGGTGAAGTCATTCTACTTAGAATTTATCCAACAAAAATTTCAAAGTGTCAATACCCAAGAATATGCATCTAGCAACATATGATGTGGTATGTTTGGAGTTAACAAAAATTAGAGAAATTCAAATATCAAAGAAAAAATATGTAATTGAATTTTGATAGAGTCATCCTTTTAGGCAATTATTTAGAAGAAAGCTCTAATTAGATACATGCACATAGATTATAAAGAAGTATATTTTGATCATGATGAATCATTCAGATGATTCATATAAATCGCTAAGGAAGGTATAAGTAATGTGCCATTCATCTATGATTTCTGGTGTGTGTGTGTGTGTGTGTGTGTGTGTGTGTGTGTGTGTAAGAAAAGTGGCAGGAAATGACTAGGACCTCTATATCAACTAACAAGGAGGTATGAATGGGTAGTGTAGAAGTAGTTTTCAACTATATTATTTATAAATCTTTCATTCTTTGCCACATTTTAATTTTTTCCAGTTACAAAGTACTAATATGTGAATATCATAATAGCTTAATAAAGGAAATGAAGCATGCTGAGTCGATAGGAAATACTCATATATTACATCTATCTTAGTTAGGATTTCTATTGTTGCAACAAAACACCATGACCAAAAAGCAAGTTGGGGAGGAAAGGGTTTATCTGGCTCACATTTTCACATTGCTGTTCATCACCAAAGGAAGTCAGGACAGGAACTCAAACAGGGCAGGAACCTAAACCTAGAGGCAGGAGCTGATGCAGAGGCCATGGAGGTATGCTGCTTACTGACTTGCTTTCCATGACTTGCTCAGCCCACTTTCTTAGAGAACCCAGAACCACCAGCCCAAGGATGGCACCACATACCATGGGCTGGGCCTTCCCCCATTGTTCACTAATTAGGAAAATGCCTTACAGCTGGATCTCATGGAGGCCTTTCCTCAATGGAGGCTCCTTTCTCTCTGATGACTAGCTTATATCAAGTTGACATACAAAACCAGCCAATACAACATCTTTGAAGATGTATGGTACATTTGTTTGGACTGTTTCTTAATTCCTCTTCTTACCTCCAAGGGAAATAAAATTAATCACCCAGCAACATGAATCCCTAAACTCTAGGTAGGGAAGCATGACAACAGAACTCCTGCGCACACCCCTTTGTGAGAGAACTCCCTAGTGGCTTTTGGATTCTGCCTTCCAGCCTAGCACCTGCTTAGAGCTGTAGGCTTACAAATGGACCAGAATAAGCACTCTCTCTCTCCTTCCACGGCTCTTGATGTGAATCCTTATGATTGGTTGTGATCACTGGTGTGGGCAATACTGATAGATTCCCAAAATAGCTTCAAAATTTATTCCAGAAAAAAAACAGTGCTGTCTTGCTAGGTTTTGTTTGTTTCTTTTTCTTTTTCTTTTTCCTTTTCCTTCAGCTTTGGCTCCACACTAGACTCAACTAGGGAACAAAGAAAACACCTTGCTTTGGCTGTATGTACTGTTCTCTCTTGAAACTAGAGGTAGGTTCTTCTATGCTACTGTTTTGAGACAGCTCTCCAGGTGATTCCGAAGCACCGTGAGAACTGAGAACCATTAACATGCCTTAAACCTGTGCTGGGCAAAGTGCCTGGAATCTACTTGGTGCCTCAGCCAGGTAACCTGAGGAGGAAGACCATAATAATACAGGGAGGAAAAAGAGGGTTTCATGCTGACTCTGTGTGCTCATGGCTGAATCCCCCCCCCCATTTCACACTATTTTAAAATGATGTTATTGAGTTACATCACCAATATCAGAACCGATGTCTTCCAGATTCTGAAGTATACTGAAAACCAGTGGCTCTCCAGGATACCCCTAGGACTTCAACACCAGGTTAGGAAGGCTGAGACAGCTAGCCTTGTGGACTGAACAAGTACTGGATTTTTGTCCTCTCTAGTGTGAGACAACCATTGTTGAACTACCCAGATCATATTCTGTAGCCATCCTAATAAATCCCTTTATGTACAAATATACGTACATTCTATCAGTTCTGATCCTTTTAGAGAGCCCTGTCAAGGTTCAGAATAATTCATTCACTACCATAACCATTTGCAATCCATCCCAGCCCCTAAGTGAAAGGACTCTGGCCAGCTCAACCACAGAAAGCATGGCTCTGGCAGGCTTTGCCTTTCTCCCCCATTCCCTTTGCCTTGCTTAAAACCATTAGAATACATTCCCAAAGCTAGCCAGACCTCCCCATTTTCTCTTCTTAAAACTTACACCTGCAAGGTCATTTGCTGCTGTTTTTCTGCCTGAAAACAACCACTTGACTTTTTCTTCCCTTCTTAATAAAGGATAACTGTGAAAACAGGTTTTTGGGGTGTGGTTTATGACTAATCTGAGGTACAGGAGGGAGCACCCCACTGTGCGGGGTTCTCCTTCACCAAGCCAGTCTGAAATAGCTACTGATCTTCTTACTATCTGTAGTTTTCATTTTCCTAGACCATGGACCCTCTCTTGCTTCATGATTCCTCCACTTAGCGCAACATATTCCAGCACTATCAATTCTGTTGCATATAACTGTGGTTTCTTATTTCTTGTGGCTAAGCAGTATTCCACAGTTTGTTTAGTCTCTATTAAAAAAAACATTTGAACTTTTTTTGGCAATTGGGGGATGTTATTAACATCAATTCTATAAGAATGCACATGCAAATCTATGGGTGGATATTTATTTCATTACTTCATAAATTAGAAGTAAATTCACGTAATTGTATCAAAAGTATGACCTAAACTTTCTCAGAAGCTGTCAAAATTTTCCAAAGCAGCTATAACATTTTCCATTCTCATTGGTGGTGTGGGTGGGTGCTAGGAGTCAATTCTAATGTGTCTTTATAGTTCCGACACTTTTTGCAAGCAATAGAATCAACTGCTCTTTTGTTTCAGACTTTTGTTGTTGTTTATGTGCAATAAACAGCTTTGGAAAAAAGCAAGTTTTTTTACTGTATAGCATAGTGACATCTCTCTCTGTCTCTCTCTGTCTCTCTATCTCTGAGGTAAGGGCAGGCATATTTACTTAGAGTCCATTAGGATTCAGATTCAGGATGGAAATGTAGCTAAGTGGTAGAGATCATGCCTGGCATGAGGAAGAAGGACCTGGGTTCAATGCCACTGCACCAGAATACAAAATTCTAGGACTCTCCAGCCTGGAAGATCTGCTTCATGCACAGCACCAGTGGACCCTTGGTGCAGCCATCACCCCTGGGAATCAGAGGTCAGAGAAGTGGTGCAAAAAGGAAAATGTTAATACTCTGACCACTGCCAACATTAGAAGGAATACCCTTTGTGTCACATTAAATCACATGTCTTCTATCAACATCCGTAAGAGTAAAAATGTGAAATTGCCATCAACAAGTAAAATACAGACTTTTTTACGGTCCTTAACAGATGATTCTAATTTCTTCACACCTTTGGCAACCGTTATTGATAGGGTACAGTTTGGATTTTCATCATTCTAGGAAGTGTGAGCATTAATTTGTATTTTCATAATGATGAGTGATAATGAACAACTCCTTGTTACCAATCTGGGGGCCTTTGCGTCTACCCAGAAAGCATTCCTGGGTAGGCAAGGAGAAGCTCCCCAAGTTCTGGCTAGAAGCTAGATTTACAGACCAGAGGTTTACCATTCCAGATCTGGAGAGCTGGGAATCTATCACACCGGACTGTAGAAGGCAGAGTTATAGCTGTAGACTCTCAAGTTGGAGACTTACTGCTCTGTACTTTAAACATAGCAGCCACATCCTTGTCTTCTTTTAAAACCTTGGCTGCAGACAGTAGCAGCAGTAGCAACCACCGTGTGTGGCTGCTAACGTTGCTATTCTCAAAAACTGACCTCAAGAGCTTACAGTTTCCTGTTCAAAGTCATGGGGCATAAGGGAAGAGCCTGTCAAAGGATCCACTCTGTGGAGACCTGCACAGCTTTAGGATTTACCTGACTGGGGCAATGGGGAGTGAAGAAATAACCAATAGACATACAGAAAAGCTGGAATTGGGCGGGCTATTGACTCTGATGGAGACTCACCTAGTTAGCCAGGAAAATCAGTGTGCTTATATATAAGACCTAATCTCATTAAGGAGTGTCTGTAGCTGAGCAGTCTCAGGCTGCTTTCACCCTGAATAAGGAATACACTTGTCAACCTCCACACTCAGTCCAGGGAAAGGCTTTACCATTCCTCTGAGCCTGACTTGATGGAGGGTCTTTTGAGCTCAGGACAAGACTGGCAGCATCGCAAGATAAGATAGAAGAATAGGAATGGAAAGTCCCTACCCAATACAGCATCAGGGTTTTGTGCTGAAAGTCAACTTTTAGTATACTACAGATTATTAATTTTAAAAAAGGCAGCAAGAGATAAAGTTGGAGTAACAGACAAAAAGTCGTGAAGGAGCTCTTGTGTTGTAATAACAGGTTAATTTCCCTTTGCTGTACAGAAAAAAAAGATGAAACAGGGATGTCATAGCCACTTATGTCTCTGTTAGTCTTGTTTTTGCAATGGATGCTCAGCTTGAGAAGATGCATTAATACAATATAAGCCAAGAGTTGTGAATTCTAATATGTAGCAAACCAGTGAGAGTACCACAAAGAAAATTAGGAGAAAGTGGCTATAAACATCCAACTGCAATTTAAGCAGTCTCATGCTGTGACTTGAGAGAATGCAAATTTTATATTTCCATCTCATTTTAGAAACCAAAAGTGTGTTATGTTAAATCTCAAATTATATTGTGACCAAGGAATTATACACTTCAACCCAATTTGGGGACTGCATATATTGTTGGATTCTTTTTAAATATTTAATTTGTCTATTTAAAAATTATTAGTTAGGATTTTTACACATTTTAATCATCATCCCTCTCCCAACTCTTACAGCCCCTCTGCCCTTCTCTACACACCCAAATTTGTGTCCTTGTTTTTTTTTAACCTGTCAAAAACAATTTGTGCTGCCCCAATGTTCTTTTGATAGATGGTCTTCTACTGATGTGTGGTTGACTTACCCAGTGTTACATTCTAAGAGAGAACTCTCCTTCCAGCAGCTAAAAACAGCCAATAGCTCCAAGGTTAGGATTGGGATTTCATGTGTATCTCCCATCTCGGTGCTGAGATTGGATCAGCTTAGTTTTCCCGGGTCTTGTGAATGCAGTCACAACTGCTGTAAATTCATATGTCCAGAAGACAGTGTTTCCTTCTAGTCATCCATCACCGCTGGCTCTTACGCTGTTTCTGTCCCCTCCACAGTGATCAACAATGACCACTGAGCCTTGGGAAGTTGGGGTGCCTTCTATATGTTCTAGCTAGTGCTCAGCATTATGAAACCTCTTATTCTCTGCACCTTAGCTAATGGTGGGTCCCTTTATTGATCATCATCTGCTGCAAACAGAAGCTTCTTTGATGAGCGCTGAAAGATGCATTGATGTATGGGTAAAACGATAAGTCACTGGGAGTCAGTTCAGTACTATGTCCATTTAACAGAGAATAGTAGTAGGTTCTCCTCCAGGGCCTATAACCTGACTGGACATTGATTATTGGGCCAAGAATGGTGTCAGGTATAGGTTTTATCTCGTGGAGTGAGACTTCACCAATCAGAAGATGGTTGATTACTCTTAGAAGGAATCTGAGGCCAACAAAGTACAGATGAAGCTGTTTTTTAGAAATGTGGAAGGAAACAAAGGAAGAGAAGCTATCACCTCTCAGGTACCTTCCAGAATTTCCTTGCAGCCTCCTTTTTCTTCTCCTTCCCTCTGTTCTTTCTTTTATTCTGTGCTGGGAACGGGACACAGGGATAGATGCTGGTAATCTTTGATTTAAAAAAATTATCAAAGGTTACATTAGGAAGAGTGTAGTGATGTAGTAAGATTTCATACCTACCCCCAAATCATTTTCGTACTTCATGGAAAGGGACAGAACTGGAGATCATCCCATTAAGCAAAATAATCCAGACACATAATTCAACTCACAACATCCATGCTCTCTTTCTTTCCTTCTTCCTTCCTTCCTTCCTCCTTTTCTTCCTTCCTTTCTTTCTTCCCTCTTTTCTTCCTTTCTTTCATGCCTTCACTATTTTTGATGTTTAGTTTCCCCCGCCCCCCACAGGACACAAATTGTCAGTAAACCATGCAAATTCATCCAAGACACATCTGTCATATAATAGCTAATGTATGCTATGTCCTTGTAAACAAAATGGTTAAAACAAACAATAACATTTCACAAGGTACAATAAGATGTGTAATGCTATAACAATAACGGATAACATATCAAACACAGTTACTCTTCTAGGAACCTTGTGCAATCCATTTTCTCATTTAAGTTGCTCTGGGATGTTCATGTTTTCCCAGATCTAGAGTCTCCATCTAAAAAATTTGAAAGGCCCTCTTGCTTTCATTATTTCCCTCATGACCAGAAATCTAACCTGAACTGATTAACACTCCCATCTCTCTCCAACTACTGTAATAACTGATTATAAAACAAGAAGAATTTACAGTCCTTTCCTAAAATCCCAAATGTTCTGGATTCCGAACACCCCACACTTACCCAAAAGATTTAGAAGTAAGTTATGAACCATTTTCTTCTTCATGTCATCAGCAAACAGATGGGGCAGAGATAAAGTAGAAAATTATACAAAATCACACAGCTTGTAAGCAGTTGAAATGTGAACCATTTTCATTAACTCCAGTAAACATTTACTGGAGCTCTAAATGCTTCTCCCATCCTTTGTCCTTTTCCGTGACTCTAATATCTTGAGTGTGGGATGATAGATACACTCATTGACTGTCATTAAACATGTAAAACTGGAGAAAGTTAACCGTTCCTAACGTTGCCAGGTAAGAAATAAGCCCATCTTCCAGAAAAGAGATCATACGGGTTACCCAGATGGCTCAATGCAGAAATACGAACTTATTCAAGTGTGCATCTTGTTTGTTCTATTAGGGTGCCAAATGCTGCGCCAGCATGGACAGTCCAAAAACCTGCTGTGAATGACTATATAATAATCAGCCTGAGATACGGAATTACGGTGCAAGCAAAGCTTTGCAAGGGCTTAAATATATCTGTCTTGATTGTAATTTCACAGATGCAATTTCTAGAGATATCATCCAGCAGTTTGGGAGGCATGGCTGTTAGGAAACTGAGTTTCTGTTTCTAACTCAGAAATGTTGTGTGACCTTGAGTCAGTAACTAAGGATTTTTCCATCATGTATTTTCACTCTTAAAAATATAAATCATATTTAAAATTCTGTTTTCGTGAATCACAAATGGAGTAAATGGACATGAGTGCAGTTAATTGGGCCATTTGAAGGAAGGCCTACAAGCAGCATTGATTTTTTTTTTCAGTGTTTCATCCTGAAAATGGTATGTCCTAGTTTCTCGGGAGCGAGTATTTGTCATCTGCAGTATGCCCCCAAGATAGAACACTTAAATTCCTTTTCAGAGACCTTAATAGCTGTTAAAGTGGTAAGTGAGTAATTCCATAATCACACACCCAAATCGGATGCCATAAGTAGTCAAACTGTAAATCTGCAAGATAATAATCACTCAAGTGCTTATATCCCCATCACACTCCATATAAATCATCAATGATGCCTCAGAACTTCAGTAATTGTTGGGACAGCAAAATACTGCAAACAGATAAATAATTTCAATCAAGAACAATGATCAAATGTCACCTCTTATACTGGATTAATGGTTTTTGATTCATAGAACAGACTATATTCCATGCTGCTAAAAGTTCTGTGTGCACAGAAGGATTTTTGCATGTGACTCATGTGGATGCTCCACTTATTTAGCCACTAATGTAAAATCATTCTTACGAAAGCAAAGAATTTAGATAAGTCTTTTTAGTTATGGGAATAATATATTCCCTGTAAAGAATATACTAATGTCAATCATAATTATTTGTATCACACAATATTTTTAAATTTTTAAAAGAGTCAAGATATTGATTTCTAAATTTATTGTTATATTATGCTATTAATAAAGCATGAAAAAAATTTCCTATAACATAGTTTAGGGGTAAAATTTAATAGATTCACAGTAGTTTATCCTTTTCTACTTCAAACAGCTTTTGTAAATGTTTGTAACTTAAGATGCCACATTAAACTGGGTGGTGGTGGCACACGCCTTTAATCCCAGCACTGGGAGGCAGAGGCAGGCAGATCTCTGTGATTTCGAGGCCAGCTTGAGCTACAGAGTGAGTTCCAAGACAGGCTACACAGAGAAACCCTGTCTCAAAAAACCAAAAAAAAAAAAAAAAAAAGATGCCACATTAACACAGACACTAAATTGTAAACTTGTAAACTGATCTGCACTAAAGAAATTCAAACCACATTTGTCAACACACAGGTATAAAACATAAGACACATTAAATGCTAATGTTTTAAAAATGAAATGATATTTCAGTCTGCAAATTGAGAGCATGAAAATGAACCCTCAAAACCTAGCCACAGTAGTAATTAATTTGCACAGAATGCCACAGTAGTAATTAATTTGCACAGAATTTCTGAGCTGTTTTTCTAAGAGCGCTAAGAGGGAATGGATCGCATCAAAGACATACACTTGACTTTCCTTCACTGCTTCGAAGCCTACTTAGATGTAAACATCTAAGAAACTCCAGATTTTTAACTGAAGCAGGTCTTCTATTAGTTTCTCTACATCTGATATTGTAATCGTAAACATACTATGTTTCTATAATAAAAGCATCAATACTGGAGGCTCACATGAAAAGAAGTCAGGGGAGAAGTAGCGCAGTGGATCTTGTGTCACTGTGAGATTATGAAGCATCTGCTTCCCACTAGGCAAGCACGACCTGCCCTGTTATTCACTAGCTCTATCTAGATTTATGGGTTACATAACGTAAAGCCGGCTGAAATACTTATGTGGTTCCCATTTTAGGGTCAGAACATCTATATTCCTTGGTTTGCTGATTAAAGTTCTGCAACTTTAATCATGACTTTAGGTGAACTGCTTTGAAGGTGATGCACCCAAGAGGGCAAAACTTTACTAGTTTCTCCCTGCAACTTTTCTTTTACCCTAACAGAGCAGGTTCATCCTTAGGAATCTCATCAACTCTAGCACCATTTAAATGTTCAGCCATAAAACTAGATACCAGTTTTCTTATTATCTAATTACATCATGATTGTAAACACAATCATGATTAGAAGTTTTTCTTTAACAAAATTATCCTCTGGCCAAAGGTGATATCTTTTGATACATGGACTATTATTTTGCCTTTATATTGGGTCCTATCCAGTCTTCAAGGTTGATATAAAGTAGGCTTAAAACAATTTTAACAACAAAACCTAGGACAAATTGTTCATTAGGTGACTTCAGGAAGTTCTAGTTCTACAAACCCAGTACAGAAAGAAGAAAGTATTACAAAAATCAATCCTTAAGAAACTTGCACTACAGACCTCTTGTGTGATTTATATCATTTTACTATTACTGTCCCTGTTGGTGTCTGAGAGCCATGCTGCCAGTGGGGCCAGGCTAAGTGGCCTGTGCTGCCACCTGGGGCCATAGTGACAGGCAAGGGCCATGTCTGAGTCCGTGGCCTTACTGAAGCCAGGGTCTGTGATGATCTCAATGACTTCAGTTTCCACTGAAGGCTGTGCAGATGCCCGGGGTCTGGGTTGCCACCTGAGGCCAGCTTGGTGTCTGAGGGTCAGGCTGCAGCCAGGACCATACAGACCTACTCTGCCACCCAGGGCCATGATGATGTCAGGTCGTGAGCTGCAGCCAAGGGTGATGTCTGGGTCCATGGTCCTTGTTATGGAATATTTGTTTACACTGTAAAGATGTGTCTCTGCCTAAGGTGCCTTCTGATTGGCTTAATAAAGAGCTAAATGTCCAATAACTAGGCAGGAGGTATAGGCGGGACTTCTAGGCAGAGAGAGAACTCTGGGATGAAGAACGGTGGATATCGCTTGGAGACTAGGAGCAAGTCAGATACGCAGTACTAAGAAGAGGTAACTGAGCCACATGACAGAACAGAGATTAGAAAAATGTGAGTTGATTAAGTTGTAAGAGCTAGTTGGGGAAAAGCCTAAGCTAAGGTCACACTTTCATAACTAATAGTAAGTCTCTGGGTCATTATTTTCGAGTTGGTGGTTCAAAGATAGTCCAACAAGAAAGCTTGCTACAGGGCCCTACTGCAGCTAGGGACTGCACTGCTGTCTGTGACTCCAGTTACCAAAGAGGGTCATTTGGATACCTGGGGTCTGGTCAGCCACCTGAGACCATATTGGTTGGTTTCTGAGGGCTGTGCTGCCACAGGGGCCATGGTGATGATGAGGCCTGAGCTGCTGCCAAGTGTCATTTCTGGGTCAATGGTCTCACTGCAGCTGGGATCTGAGTTGATCTCCATGGCCCATGTTACCAGAGAGGACCATAAGAACTATGTCTGTTGAAATCCGAGGGCAATGCTGAGCCAGCACCATCCTTTACTGGCCCTGAGAGAGCAGGTCATGCCTTTTGCTGGCCACTGCAGCAGAAGAGCTGGCCCCACACTTGGGAGAGATGGCCCCACCCCTCATCACTGGTGTGGGAGAGCTGGCCCCCATAGCCTGGACATAGAAGAGCTATCTCTTAAGGTTGGTCTCAGCAGCCAGATTGACCAAATCAGCTACCACTCAGACCCACATTCAGGGTTTGGAGTTGGCCCACCCCAATATCTACCCCATCTATGACCTGCTGCAGTACATGAAGGAACTGGCCCTGTGGAACCATAACTGTAGGATCTCCATACTTCAGGGTATCTGAGACAAGTCTCAGTAAGAGTCCAGCATTGATGATATACCAGAAGTCAGAGGCCTTGAACCTGACCAACAACTTATTACACAATCAACATTTGCAAGTAAAGTTAAGTAGACAAAAGGGTATACCACACAACACACCACAGCTCCCAATGCCACTAAGATGAATGAAGAGCTGTTGGAGAGGCAGGAAGGATTAAGAAGCAAGATGTTTTTTGTTTGTTTGCTTTGTTTTGTTATTAATATTTTTTTAATTTTCTTTTGTTGGGAGACACTCCAGGAGTGAGGGGCAGGTATGGAGGGACTGGTATATGAGCAGGATTGGGGCACATGATGTGAAATTCCCAAAGAATCCATTAAAGTAATTAAGCTAAAAAAGATAGAAATTTGCGCTAGAGACCCTTTGTGTAATTTCTATCATTTTAATATTATTGTTATTTCTCAAATGTTGCTGAAATGACACAATTGTAATGACTATTCTTGGTTAATACTTGTACCCATAAAATAAAAAAAATATTAAAAACTGTCCATATTCTGAACCAATGACCAGAGTAGCTTTTAGTCACATAAATTTGCTTTCTGCAGAGAACCAATGGAAAGTATCAAACCTGGAGAATTTGGTCATTGGAGAATGAGAGCCACCCTGATGATTGTGCGTAAGAGCTGTAAGTACAGCCAACTCACAGTATGGAGACAGTCTGTGAAGAGAAGAGGAAGTATGTGGGAGTCCAGCTCCCACCTTTCAAAGGGTCCTTGATAGGAGGAGAGAGGAATGAGGAAATATTAGATAGAAATATAGACGAAGATGGAGAGAAAGACAGAGACACAGGATAGCTTCAGGAGGGCCCTGGGTCAATACCCAGTCACCTTGAGGTTTATTCCAAAGGGCTTTTTATACAATGCCAAGGAGCAAGGCAAAATACCACCCCCTTTCAAGATCAAAGCACAACATACAGCCAAATATAGATCCTTCAAAACACCTGGTAACCACGTTCATGGCCAAATCATCCCATTATGCAGCCCTACTGGGTAAAGCAAGCTCAGACTCTCTGACCTTGAGTAAGGTCTCACTAGGGTGCCTCTGTGGGCCTCCACAGAAGTTCCCATAGCCATTCTCTCTCTCTCTCTCTCTCTCTCTCTCTCTCTCTCTCTCTCTCTCTTTCTCTCTCTCTCTTCCATTTTTTTCCATTACAAAGACACAGGCCAACTGGAACTATGCACTTTGAATATTCCAAGAAGTGAATATGGTCAGATTCCAGTATGCTGAGGGAAAATAATACTCTCATATTCAGACAACATCCCAAAGAATTCATTGTGCTGAATTTTATTAGCTGTATCAGGAACTGGGGATGTCATCAACATCATTGATTGGTTCATTGTTCTTGGGCAGGGTAGGTGCAGGTGGTATTTTATGTAGCCTCAGTTTAAGACCTCATGTGAGTGGAAATCTGCTGGGCTTGGTTCATAATTATATTGTATGGTGATATTTTATTTGTGCTGAAATGTGATTTTATTTGTATGTTAATAAATAAAGTTGCCTGGGGATCAGAGCTAAAAGCAAGCCATTTAGCAGAAGTCCGGCGGTGGTGGCCCATACCCTTAATCCGATCACATGGCAAAGAGAGTCTCTGTGTGGTCAAGGACACAGCCAAACAGTGACCCGAACTTTTAATCCCAGTACCAACCATAGAGACCTGGAGGTCTGTATAGATAGGCAGTGACAAGGAAATCATGTGGTTGGGTTTAGAGCAAATGAGAAGGTAGAACAGAAAGGCAATAAAAAGACAGGTCACACAGGAGAAGGTCTCTTTCTCAGGGGAAGGACGGCAGGGAGTGGTAAGCTAAAGGCTCTACACTAGTGCTCTGATCTCTTGGGCTTTTAACTCTGCATTTGGCTCTGTTTCTTATTTAATAAGACCATTTAGAATTTCATCTACAATATTTTATGATGACATGAGTTATATTGTATGATGACATGAGTTATATTGTATGATGACATGAGTTATATTGTATGATGATACATGAGTTATATGATGACATGAGTTATATAGTATGATGACATGAGAAGGAACAGAAATGGACTTCTAGCTATGCATGAGATACTTTGAAGTTTATATGTGTAGTGAATTGAATTGTGTGTCCCCCCCCAAACAGATATTTCATTTCTAACACTAGGGATTTTTAAATAAATTAAAATAAGGTAGTAGTGAACACACATGGTACATAGACATACATGTAGGCAAAATACTCACATAAAATAAATCAATCTGAAAGACTTTAAAGGAGATATTAGGATGGACAGTAATACAAAAATTGATGCCTTTAGGAAAGAGGAGATCTGAACTCAGAAATGTGCCAACAGGAAGAAAATCCTATGAAAATTAGAATTATGCTGCCATGAAGCAAGAAACTACCAGAACCTCACAGGACCCTTTGGAAATATTGATATTAGACTTCAGACTTTTGGACTCCACATCTGTGAAACAATATATTTTTCCTGTTCTAAGCCACCTAGTATATTAGAAAACTAATACAATATGTCTTCTAGAAGACCTTGGGATGAAGGTCATGACTAGTTTTAATTTTTTTTTCTTCAGATCTGACTCATGGCTCCTAGGCTTAAAACTGAGTACAGCAAGCACATTGGTCCCTGATGCCATTTAGGCAGGTCTGTTTGTACAAGGAAAGATTTATTCCCAGTGCTAGGGAATGGAAGTCTGAGAGTTCTCAATAGGGGACTGTGTGGCTACTAATGTTAATAGAAAAAATTAAACCAGGTAAAATGTTGCGTTCATGAAAACTTGGACGGTGTCATTTCTGGTGTCTCATTTACTCTTTCTTTTGCTCATGACTAGAGTGACATAAAATGTGAGGGGGTGTCTTAGGGTTTCTATTGCTGTGAAGAGACACCATGACCACAACTCTTTTTTTTTTTTTTTTTTTTTTTTAGATTTATTGATTATGTATACAGTGTTCTGTCTGCAGGCCAGAAGAGGGCACCAGATCTCATTACAGATGGTTGTGAGCCACCATGTGGTTGCTGGGAATTGAACTCAGAACTTCAGGAAGAGCAAGCAGCCAGTGCTCTTAACTGCTGAGCCATCTCTCCAGCCGATCACAACTCTTATAAGAAAAACATTTACTTTGGGTGGCTTGCTTACAGTTTCAGAGGTTCAGTCCATTGTCATCATGGTGGGGAGCATATGGTAGTTTGCAGGCAGATATGGTGCTGGCTACATCTTGATCAGAAGGCAACGGGAAATGAACGGAGACACTGGGTAGTATCCTGAGCATAGGAAGCCTCAAAGCCCGCCCCCACAGTGACACACTTCCTCCAACAAGGCCACCCTCCTAATAGTGCCACTCCCTATGAGATATGGGGACCAATTACATTAAAACTATCATGGGAGGGGTGTTTGCTAACTGGAAAGCTCTAACAGTTTCTCTTTAACCGTGTCCATAAAATGATTTTTCTTATCAGGAACATGGCATGTCATAGCATTATAACAACTGTGAGAGGATTAAAATGGAAAGTCATCCATGCAGTCACATGTTTTATCAATGGAAACTACTGTGTACATATAAAGTGCTGGGCAGCATTGTTATCAGTGGTCAAGGGCTAGCCTGGGTGTTTCCAGCTTTCTGACAACTTACAGAAGGACCTGAAACAAGTTGATATGGGTTTGCAAAGTGCAAAGATATTTTGTTCACAACACTATCAAGAGCAACAGCAGTTCACCTAAATGAAAATTCTCAAGGGCCCCAAAACTGGGCTTCCTTTTATGGGTCTTGTCTTAGTTAGGGTTACTCTTGCTGTGAGGAAACACCATGACCAAAGAAACTAGGTGAGGAAAGGTTTTATTCAGCTTATGCTTACATACCACTGTTCACCACTGAAGGAAGTCAGGACAGGAACTCAAACCTGCCAGGAACCTGGAGGCAGGAGCTGATGCAGAGGCCACGGAGGAATACTGCCTACTGGTTTTCTCCTCATGGCTTATTCAGCCGCCTTTCTTGTAGAACCCAGGACCATCAGCCCAGGGATGGCACCGCCCACAATGGGCTGGACCCTCCCCTGTCAGTCACTAACTAAGAAAATGCCCTACAGGCTTACCTGCAGCCTGATCTTATGGAGGCATTTTCTCAATTGAGGCTGCTCCTTTGATGACCGTGTAGGGTCAAAAAAGGAAAAAAATTTATTACAAGTAGTGGCTCTCAAATTTGATGGATTTAAGTTATGTACCACCACAATACACCCGAGTTTAATCATACACATGCTCAACTGTGCACAGGCTTAAGATGGTAAGAGGGATTATCCCTAAAAGTTCACATGGAGGACACAAGTCCATCTTATGTATGGCATTTGTACCCACACCAGTTCAGGCCAAATTGGCCTATTCGCCTTGGTTTTTAATGTGTTCCCTAACAGGTTTAGTGGTGGTTTGAATGAGAATGCTCCCCATAGGCTTATACATTTGCATGCTTATCCCCCAGCTGATGAGTTGTTAAGGAAAGATTAAGAGGTGGGGCCTTGTTGGAACAGATTCAGTCCTATGTTTCCATAAAGTTTAAATGGCAGTGGTAATCACCTTAAAAATAATAACACAAGGGCATTGACTTTGGATTTGGCTCTCCACATGTTCTTTTTAAATTTTCACTTTTAAATTACCTTACAAGTAACAGGTTTCCATGTGACTTCCTACTCCTCATCTCTAGCCCCACCACCCCCTCCATCTCTCTGTTCCTGCTTTCCATTTCCTCCGTCACCTCAAGTATTATTTCTATCTTCATGAACTTTGAGTTTTCAATAGCTTCTACTAACTATTGATCTTTTCTACTGGTAGTCAAAAAGTATGAAAGAGTCTTAAATCCTTTCAGTTTTCATAACATATCAAAATCACGAGCAATTCTTACAGCAGATCTATTCTTTCATCTCTTATCTTTTATTTCAATGCAGGTATGAGTCGGCTATTAATTCAGCCACCTGGGAGGATTGGACACAGCAGAATGGAGCTGTCTGGACAACTGTGTTTCCAATGAATACAACAAAAGAAGATGATGTTGTCTCCTTTAAGAGTAAAATTCATCCAGTTCGTACCTGTGAGATCTTATTTGGGAGTCCTAAACTTTTGAGTTATTGCTATAGTCATGTGTTTTCATTATAAAAAGGAAATCCAGTTTCAGGAGTGAAATGTGAGCAATGTTTAAGAAAGATATTTAACAAATAATACAACTCACTCTACATTATAGATAGGCTTTTGGTTTGCAATCCTGCTGCCTCAGCTACTTAACTAGCTGGGATTGAAGGCCCGGTTCAAAGTCCTGCTACAAATACCGTATTAACAGAAGCTTCAAACAGCTTAGCTGTAGCCACCGTTTGCAACCATGATATTTAAGACTTTTTTACTGAAAGAATATACTGTAAGAGGCGATAGAAAGCTTCTGCTGGGTTATTACGCATAATGTGCCTTCTTCCTTTTCTTAAACAAAAGAAAGAGACACTTGAGTTGGAAGTTTCTGTAGAGGAAAACAAAAAAGGAAAAGGCTTCTTCCAAATTTGGGTCTGTGGGGAGGCATAGGAAATGCCATCTTAGAAAGTTCCTGAGGTCAGTGACTGTTTTTTAAATGGGTGTTATTTATTTATTTTTTTGCTTTCAATTACCAGTCAGTATTTCTAATATTTCCACCATCTTTTAGAAGTGTAGTGTGTTCTTTGCAGGGCAGAAAACATCTACATGTTTACAGTGATCCAAATGATTTCTTCAGCTTTGGACAACATAAAGACTTTTTTTTATAGATTTTTTTTTTATATCCCTGTTCAGCTAATTTTGAAAAGAGGTATGTAGAGCTTCTTGTGTCTTAGTTAGATTAAGTAAGCATAGCAATGTATCAGCTACACATGATATGAGCCAGCTCCTCACCTAATGCTCAAATGAAAAAATATTCAAAAAAACAATTTAAATCCTTTTGTTCAAATCATTTGTAATTGAAAGAAACAGGGGGGGATTCCATAAAACTCACTCATGATATAACCATCCATGCATGCTACTAATTTTCACTTTAAAAAAATGCCAACTACTTTTGTGTACATATTTACTGAAGAAAAAAATCATTATCTAGTTCTTCACGAAACTGACAGAACACCTCGCCATTGGGAGCTACCACACTGTAGGAATCAGTTTCATTGCTTACTCCGAGTTCTTAAATATGAGTATCCTTCTTTGATAGGCTACTTACCTGAACATTTAAAAGTATTGCAAACTCTGAGATATGGCCATCATTATTCTCATAAATATTTACTACTGGGTTTTACTCAGGCTTAAGTGGATATAGGAATGGTGTCAGTGTGATTTTGCAGGGCTTATGTAATCAAATACATGTATTCTAGTTATATCAGTAGAATTTGGAAGCCCCATAATAGAATGAACCTGATGTAACAGTCCATCAAGAGAGTGCAGTCTATGCAAGAGAAGCATTGTAGTTCAGGTTCTAATGTGCTAACATCTGATAAGCACTTACTTTGATAATGCTATTACAAAGTAAGTCACAGTAAGTTAGCTGGAGTTGACATTTTGAAACTGGCAAATTTTCAGGACTTTTTGGGTTTATAAGTTGTCAACGTTTATTTAAGGAACACACCACAGTTGTTATATTGGTCCTGTAAGAGACATGTAGGAATAAAGTAGAGATAGTTGAGGTACAACAGATACCAAATACATCCACTAAGAATGAGAGGGTTTGCTCTGAAAGCAGAGTAGCATTCAGGATACGGCCGGGACACAACCGAATTTCTTGGAAAGGCATTATTGTTCTTCTAATTTGACTTTATAGGCTCCTTTGCCATCTTAGCAGGAAGACATTCTTACAGTGTCTAATTATTTCACAGATATCGAAGCTCCCAAAACATTAAATAGTCTTCTAATATGCGATTCAACCATTTTACACCTTCCTATTCACCAATGGAAAATTAAAGCACCGACTCATACAAGACTAGATACAAATGTTTAAAAAGAAGCTTTCTTGTTGTGGCCAAAGACTGAGAGTATCGCACATGACAGTTGACAAATGAATGAATGGATAAAGGATATCCATCCAATAAAATATTCCTGTTTCAGTAGAAACAAACTATTTACAAATGCTGCACTAACACATATGAATTGCCGAGTAATTATGATGACTATAAAAACTACAAAAATAGAGCACTGTTTAGGACCCTCATTATAATTATAATTATAATTATTATTATTATTATTATTATTTTAATGCAGACTGTTTTGTAAGCAAAAAAGCTAATCAGATGCTGCTTTGAATCAGTGCAGGGGCTACCAGGAGGACCCATTACAGAGGGCCAGGAAGACATTTTTGAAGGGGATGCTAATTACTGGGGACTGCAGCGAGGCTTCATGTCATATGCATATCAAACTCACCAAGTTTTACATTTACATATTTAATAACGCGCCTCAGTGAGACTGGCAGCCCTATGCGTGACTCAATGTTGTTCTTAACAGAAGTTATGGAAATGTAACAAAAGTCCCACAAAAAATGAAAGGAAAATATTTATGCTTTTCATTTCGTCACGGTTTCTTTAATCAGGCTCCCGGAATTAAGTGAGGTCTTCCTATGAAACCATCATGTGGGTTGAAGTTCAAAGACAAGAAAAAAAAATTCTAACCTTAGATTCACACCTTCTTACTGTTAAAAATTTTAAAAAATCAAAAAATGTGACATTCTCCCCAGTTTCTCGCTCACATTATACACAGCGAACAGTGTGCCTAATCCTGGGGCGGAGCTTTCAGCAGGTGTAGCCTGGTTGTCTGTTTTAAGAATGAACATGAGTCACGGAGCTCTTCCAAAGTTAAATTAATTCAACATTAAGTCTAGAGTGCTTCTCCATTTTTCAAAATGCCCGACAAATTAATAAAACACCAAAGACAATCACACTTGTCTCCTACTCACATTTAAAAGGCAGCTATTCTGCACATAACTTAACTCCTACAACCCCATAGTTGCTGTTGCTAAATATAATACATACCAGAACCTCTGAGGTAGAAAGTCATGGATGTAGACAGGCAAGATATCTGATGAAGGCTCTAGGCTCTTCACCAGCATGCTGTTCACTGGAAGGCATCTGTCAACAAGGAGTTCAATTTATCTTTGTGCATTCAGCATGGCAGACCACTTCTATTCTCTTCTCCAGTGTGTATTTGAGATACTGGTACAACCTTGGAAAGCAAAGCATTTGCGTTGGTACAGCGCCAACGGCTGGGTTTTGATCTTTCCTACTTACAGTGGTCAAATTCTTGCAATGTCCACACAATTCAATGACTGGTACGAACAGGTTAAACCTGGAACCTAGAAGAGCTCTGCACTGCATGTAGGCATTTGTCTTGGAAGTTATAAAAGCAGCAAACACTGATTAATCAATAGTATCCAGCAGATCCAATTATCATCTTTTTCTATCATTAAATCCTTGTTGTAAATAAGATTGTTGTCTAGTTTTGGAAGCCTCTGATGAACCCCTGCTGCTCACACATGCATATCTAATGTAGGTCAAGGACAAGCCACAGCAGTCTACGTCTGAGGCCAAGTACCTCAGCCAGCACCTTTGCTGATATTAGCAGACTCGGGAGAGCTTGCCAAGCCTTACCTTGGCCACCATCTGCTGCGGCCATCCAGGACACCAGCTTGGAATGAGCCACACTCTCAAGCATAATTCTACACAGGATAATTTGCATTTTAAGTTTGGCATAACAAGGGAAGTGAGATGCTGTGCTTTAGTTAAAAGCTCTGTGTCGAGCACCTTCATGCCACACTTCTTTTCTGAGGGTCCCCAACCCTCTTTGGAAGACCCAGTATTACACTCCATCTCTGCAGAATTACTTCTGGTGGACTGGGCTACCCTAAATTCGGGTAAAACCCTCATCATCGTACTTTAAGGATTAATGCACAAAGCTGGGGGTGGTGACACACGTCTTTAATCCCAGCATTTGGAAGGCAGAGGCAGGCGGATCTCTGTGAGTTCAAGGACAGGCTGGTCTACACAGTGAGTTCCAAGACATCCAAGGCTATGTAGAAACCTTATCTCAAAAAGACTAAGGTACAAAATGGAGCAATTAAAGGCCTACTGCACTTTTACAAATTAAAACTACGGCCCAATACAAACTTGTATCAACAGCCAAGATCAAACTTCCTTTTAAAAGTTTAAAGTCTGAAGCCAGTCTCTGGTCACCTAAAACTTCATGTATACATAGTTATCCCTTTGTGTATACATGGTTATTATGTATGTTATCATTTCATGTGTACATTGTTATCCTTTTTCATCTTTGTCTTGACAAATTGGACATATATGGCATACTTTTTAATTACTTTGTTTTGCAGCATTGGGACTTTAACCCAGGACCTTGTACATTCTAGGCAATCTACCCACCACTAAGCAGTAACCTCAGCCTACAGAACAAATTCTCAACATCCCTTGCTGTGTCTATCCCCCTTATCCTTTCTCAACAGAACTCGTTTTTTACAATTCATGGGAATGGCAGTCAAGAATATGTATGTTCTGGTCTACTATGCCGACATGTGCCTGTAGTACTAGCTCCTTGGGATGCTGAAGATCATGAATTCAGGAACTGAGGCTGGCTCAGGCAAAATAGCATGAGAACCCATCTCGAGAGAAGATGGTTCAGTCAGTAAAATGACTGCTGTGCTGTCCAGGGATATGGACCTGAGTTGGGATTCCCCAAAGGCTAGAATGCTGTTCCTGTAACCCCAGTGCTGGGGAGGCCGGGACAGGAAGACTCCAGGTTAGTGAGAAACTCTATCCCAAACGATGAGGTTGTGAGTGATTGAAGACCTCAACTGCTGGCCTCCACACACACGCCCACACATATGTACATGTGCATATAAACACATACACAAGTGGGGTGGGAGGATAGGGAGATTATATGTACTCTAAACCAGCATGTTTGTTTTTAAACATACAAGTTACGACACTGTCCCAAGGCAAAACAAGTCAGCCAATAAGAAGACAGTGACGTTTTCTCTGTATGTGAGGAACTGTTAGGAACAGAAGGAAAACATTATTCCACTACCGGTAACTATTTTTATATACTTGACTACATTGCAAACCTTTTCCTTGTAATTGCTCCTGCTCCATCTGCCTCTAGCCTTTGCAGCCTTGAAGACTTCTCAATTATTTCACCCACAAAATTCTTCTTGTCTCCCGACATAGCCTAGCTGAGGCAGCTAATCCCTTTGGTTCACACGTCACTGAAATGCTTCATGGGAGCTCAGGCCTCCTGTTTCAAAACAGTTTATTTCATAAAAATTCCATTGAAGGTTTTTAAAGTCCAGGATAAAGTCATTCTTTGTGGAGAATAGATATACAGAATTTTTTCCTATTACAAAAGCAAAAAGTAATTTATCAATCCATTGATGTCAATAAATTTAGTTCACTGTTGGGAGCTCCCAACACATACAAAAGGATGCAACAGTCAGTCAAAATTTAATCCTTAAAGACAAAATGTCTATTTTAACTGTTCTCTTGTATTTTCTGAAGAAGATACTCCATTTGTAAATTCAGGTTTGGCTGGCCCTTTTTGGTCTTTTTGCTCAGTATTTTGAAAGCTTCCATTTTTTTCTTCTTGTAGAGCCTGTGGGCTTCTTCTCTTTCTTGCTTTCTCATTTCAAATTCCTGCAATTATACATATACATAATGTTCATTAGTCACAAACAGAAAACACAGGTCAGAATTGTTTTGAAATTGCTATCACAATGCAAACCCACTGATATTTGTCTTTTATATTGTGTAAAATGTGAATAGTTTTCTAAAATGAAGTATTATGTCCTCTTTGGTTTCATACCATAATGATAGAAGGAATATCAAAGAATAACAGTCATGGCAGCACTTTATGCATTTGTATGTAAGTAAAAGAAAAGTCAAATATTTAACAATTTCACTGTTTAAGTCCACTAAAGAATTAGAGGGACCTTCATAGAGGTTAACTAGTCTAATATTCTGTATAACACTAAAAAGTTCATTTCCACAAAACTGTACCGTGTGTGTGTGTGTATGTGTGTGTGTGTGCATGTGTGTGTGGTTTAGCTAATTTACAGATTTGATTTAGAAAATGGTGGCCACCTACTTACTATACTAGTGCAAAACACTGTTAGGCATCTTGAGTGTCACCATTTAAGGACTATCATGCTCATTTGAGTTGCTATGATACGAACGCAAATCTAAGTACAGAGGACAATAACTCAAAATGATCAATAGCTCTGAAGAACCGTTATCAAACAAGCACTACAACATTATCACTAACTTAAACGTAACAGCTGAAAAGAAGTTGTACTGTAATACGTGTGTTCTTCATGTCCAAGCTGGGGAACCTCAAAATGATATACTAGACAAACATTAGACTCACACTCATTTGTAATTATAAGCAATTATAGTTAGCAAAGAATCTTACACGTGATTTGTGAAACTGCGGCACACTCCCTTCTTGTAAAATTGTTTCCTAGTTTACTTTGTTGGTCTTGCACACAAGGGCCAAGCTCAGTGATAAAGAAGTGACTTGCCGGGGACCACTCTGTGGCAGAGACTCAGATTCAAGTGTTCATCAGGTGACATCCTACTACTTAAAATCATTTAACTATTTAGTGTAGTATTTATTTTAATAAATACAAAGAGATCTGAAGCTGGTGTCGTTGGCACATGCCTCTAATCCTAGCACTGGGGAGGCAGAAGCAGGTAGATCTCTAAGTTCTAGGCCAGCCAGTGCTACACAGTGAGACTTGCCTCAAAAAGATCTGAAACTTATTTGTGAGTTCTGCTGCCTGGCCTGGTTTATCCTTATGGCATTACACTTATTTAACACTCTTACCCTCAATTCTGTGTCTATTTAACTAATTCTTAACAATTTTGATCTCATGGGTAAAGTGTCACTGGCTTTTGTATTAATATTAGAGATCATCTCTGCCTGTCATCAGCTGAAGAATAATCATAAGCATTTTAGATATTAAACTCTGAATTTCTTTAACTACTCATATTCTAATGTGTATTAATGCAATTTTATCAGTACTGTCTGTCTTTGGGGAAATTTTGATGAAACACTGGTACATTACTTAAGCTTTAGTACAAAACAAACCAAAAATTTCTAAATGCCAAAACCTTAAGAATAACCATTACTGCCGGGTGGTGGCGGCACACGCCTGTAATCCCAGCACTCGGGAGGCAGAGGCAGGCGCATCTCTGTGAGTTGGAGGCCAGCCTGGTCTACAGAGCTAGTTCAGGACAGGATCCAAAGCTACAGAGAAACTCTGTCTTGAAAAACCAAAAAAAAAAAAAATAAAAAATAACCAGCCTCCCGAGTGCTGGGATTAAAGGTGTGCGCCACCACCGCCCGGCCAACAAGCAATTTTTTTACTACTCTGCACAGATACAGTTTTTAAGGTCATAGATCAAGGGCCAAAGGAGACACTTAAGGAAATGTTTAAGCATGGAAGACAGCTACATTTCTGAGTATTTTATTCCAACACTTCCCCTCTGGCTTTTACTGTAATGTAAAATTAAGAAAATAATCAATAGGTCTCAGGTTCTCAAATTTACAGCACATAAAATTATTTCAAGGAACTTGTCAAAGGTCTAAGTTCCTAGGTTGTAGTCTGAGAAACATTATCACAGATGCCAGATATTCATATTATTGACAAGCAATTTTTTTTTTTTTTTTTTTTTTTTGGTTTTTCGAGACAGGGTTTCTCTGTGTAGCTTTGCGCCTTTCCTGGGACTCACTTGGTAGCCCAGGCTGGCCTCGAACTCACAGAGATCCGCCTGGCTCTGCCTCCCGAGTGCTGGGATTAAAGGTGTGCGCCACCACCGCCCGGCCAACAAGCAATTTTTTTAATTGAATTTTATCACTGACCTACTAGTATTGTCTGAGCCAATAAAGGACTTAAAATATTGTACAGTTCTATAAGTCTGCTCCTGAGTAATCCAAAAAATAAGTATTGAAACAGACAATATTATGTGCCCAATACTAAGTAGCATGGCTTGTACATGCTAAAGATAAAGAAAAAATAAACCTAAATAATTAAAAAGTAGAACTTACGAATTTCTTAGCAGCACGCTTTGCTTGTACCCGTTCATATTCTTCTTGTGCCTTTTGGTTTGAAGTTTTCTTCTTCTTTTTCTTTGGAATAGTATCAGAACTTGCAAGAGAAATTAAGACGTGCAAGTTAAATCACTCATAAATGATTTAGACAAAATTATGCAATTATATCAAATACAGTATTTATATACAAAAAACGTCACTAATACAAATTGAAGGAAGCATGGAGAGAAAGAATAACAACAACAAAAAATATGAAAATGCTCAAATAAGATCTTAAAACCAGTTACAGTTACAAATTAAAGCATGGTAAATGGATGTTTTTGGAGAAAGATTGAACTAGGGAAGCACAGTAGGTTTGGTTGGATATTAAAATGTTGTAAACAGATGGGAAATGAATTGAAGGATATAACAAGTTGTGGCATAAATAAACTGAAATTGGAGTTCTTTGATCACCCTGTCTCTAACTTCTTACCACTAACCATCAATCCTCAGAGATGGTCTTCATTTATAAATCTGCCATCTTGAAGCACTCTTAGATCTTTGAAAGGTAAGTAGTTATGATGTTACTTATTATCTGACTTAATAACCTTCCTGTCCTCTGTGCCTCAACTTCTCAAGTCATAATCACAATATATTCAGCAGCTCCCTAGTTAAAATTAAATACATATATTGTCCATTCCTAAAGTCTATGTGCTCTTCAGCTAATCTTGCTTCTTAACTTTTACTATCAAATTCCTACACAAAGAATAAACTACAGCCATCACTTCCCACTCACTCCTTAACTCTCTGACATATGAGTTCTGCTCCACCAGTCCAAACTGTTGTTACAAAGACAGTACTGATCTCCTAGCCCAAAATATACACTAGTCTTTTTGCTTTCTTCTGTTCTTTACTTCTGAAAATTTCAGTCAGTTTTGGCGTGTCAGTCTTCACTTCTAATTCTCTGTGTGCATGTGAGTGTTCCTGTAGCTTTGGGTATGCATGTATAGACATGTGGAGACTAGGGGATTGCTCACTACCTTGTTTGAGACGAGGTGTCTCAGTGAAGTAGGGGGCTGGCCAATGAGCTCCACCTACTAAAAGCATACTGAAAACAAAACACAAGGCTTCCAAGACTTTTATGGCCTTTATCCCCAACTATATACTTTGCTGTTATTTGCAACACTATGCTCAATTTTATTATCTTTTTTACAATTTTTGGAGACTTATGTACATTCATATAATGTATTTTTGATTAAATTCACCCACCATTTTTTCTTCTCCAATTCCTTCCCTATCCTCTACACCACCTTTCCTTCCTCACTTCATGGGCTTCTTTTGTACTTTTTTATTAAACTCACTGAGTCCACTTACTGCTGCCAGTATGTGCACGTGCATGGGGTGGGGCCATCTACCAGAGCATGGGCAGCCTCTCAGACGCACATCCACCAAGAAGACTGACTCCCCCCAACCGCCCTCACCAGCCATCAGTTGCCAAAATCGCCTAAGCTGGATAGGGGACTTTGTGACCCCCCCCCCCCCCCCCAGTCCATGCTGGGATTTTGTCTGGCTTGATCTTGCAAATGTCTTGTCCATGTAATCATTGTATCAGCTTTGAAAGGCAAAATTTAAAAAAAAAAAAAAAAAAAGTTATGATCCAAAGTGATGCCTGGCTTCCTTGCAAGTTTACATGAAAATATATTTTTGATTGAATTACGTGTAGACAAAGTTTCATAAACTAGCTTTTATAAAATCAAAGTGATACAGAGGACTTGTTCTGGGACAGGGTCTTCTAAAGCAGTGTAAATTGGCCAGAAACTCACCATCTAGTCCAGCTTAGCCTCAAACTGTGACAAACTGTGGTTATGCCTCCTCAGTACAGCTATTACCAGGGATGAGACATCGCACATCCAGGAAAACACCCATGTGTTTAGCGCATTAAAACACTTTTGTTGTTTTATGAGATGGAATCTCACTGTGTAGCTCAAGCTACCTTTGAGTTAACAGCACTCTTCCCACTTCAGCCTTCTGAGACGACGACAGGCATGGAGAACAAGGTCTTGCTTGATTTTTGTTAACTACACCTACTTCCTGTACCCTTTGCAGAAAATGCAAACTAAAATATGATAATAGCAGTTAGCACTCATAAACACCAAATATCATACATTTTAAAAGTTTGATATAAATTAATCCAGCTATCAAAATGTCATGAAATATAATACTTTAAACACATCATTCACATGAGACGACTATCCACTTTAAGGCTGTGCAACATGGTGTGCATGGTAGCTCCTTTTACTCTGTCCTTCCCATCATAGAGGACACTGGCATACCAACATGTAAAGTCTGGCTCCATAATCTAAAGTGTCAACAACTACACACTTGCATTATTTCTCTAGTATCTCATTATGCTGCCCACACTGGCCTGGAACTTATAATCATCCTGCCTCAGCTTCCCAAACGTTGGCCTTACAGATATACAAGACCAAGCCTGGCCTAAAAAAATTTAAAGCGTGCGCGCGCGTGCGAACACACACACACACACACAAATATATATATAATGTATATTATATATATATTTATTTATTTATTAATAATTGGGTTTAATTATTGTCCAATGAAGTTACCTGTTCTTGAGAGGCAGTAATTCAAAACTCCAATCTCTTGATTCTCATTTCATATTCTTGTCAACTATGTTCAACTAGCCTACTTCAGTCATTTTACACTAAAAATAGAAACTATGAAAATATGATAACATGACTTCAAAAATGTGTTAAGAAAACTTCCAATTCTTACACAAGTTGCTCTACATCCTCTTTAAAACACTATTTACATTTGAAGTAAGGAATTTCAAAAGAAGAAAGCACATACTTTACTGTATACAGCTGTTCTGGCTGAGGCTGGCGATCACTAGATGGATCTTCAGACAATGTCTGCTCAGGGTTGCACTCTTCTTCAGGCAGGGGCTGGTCAACTTGATCTTCAGATGGAGGTGGGCCAACCTTTCTCTGCTGTTTCCTGAGTCTTTCCTCTTCAGCTAAATAGAGGTGCTTCAGATGGTCTGGGTAATGATCAGTGAACTGGGATTCCTGTGACACTGGCGCCTTCTTTACCTTCCATAGCAATTTCTTGTAATTTTGTTGGATCTTCAGCTTCCTCCGAAATGCAAAACCTTGTCCTAGCATTGAAGGATTTCAGTCACAATTACTTTCACAGAAAGTGAAAAATAAAGCTACTAGAAATGAAGGGTTTTTTTTTTAAACATTATATTCAAATGATATAATCACTTGGTTTTGCTTTAAAGATTAGGTTAGTCAACATATTTAATGATGTACCGAGGAGCAAGTTGGCTGGCCCTTTGCCTGAATATAAGGCTAACAATTGTCAAACACTACAAAACAAACAAACAAACAAACAAACAAACAAAAACCTTCAAAGTAAAACTAAAAAGTAAACTAAATTCTACTGCTCAACTTGAATTTGTAATCGTATTCACCAGTTAAAATTTCTTTAACTCAGCCGGGCGGTGGTGGCGCACGCCTTTAATCCCAGCACTCGGGAGGCAGAGCCAGGCGGATCTCTGTGAGTTCGAGGCCAGCCTGGGCTACCAAGTGAGTTCCAGGAAAGGCGCAAAGCTACACAGAGAAACCCTGTCTCGAAAAACCAAAAAAAAAAAAAAAAAAAAATTTCTTTAACTCATCTAAAACATCACCTGGGGGTCTTCAGTAAATACTTAAAAATAGGACGGGGAATCTTACTTTTTCTCCGTTGAAGAAACTCATTAATCATTTACTTTCCAAAATAAAACACAAAACCACAAAAGGGGATAATGTACAACTTTCTGAACACCTGTCAATTATCATCAGATCCAACAAAATACTTAACCATTTGAAGTGCAATGAGAGGCCTTACAAAGACAAAACAAGGAACCTAAAGAAGAGCGGGATGAGACTGGAGGGCTACTGTGGTGTTTCTAATTATCAAGGCTTTGGTCCAGTGCATTTTTCAACCCCATGTTTCTCTCTGTCCTTTGCTGTTAATCTGTATATAGTGCACAGCCAAATGGACCCCTAGACGCTCCGTGCTTCCGGTTAGAGGAACGGGCTGCGAGAAATGACTTAAGTTGACAGCACTGTCTCGTCCTCCCATGCAAAGGATCGAGACGCTAATGGGTCCGGCGGGCTTAGGAATGACTTCGCAGATCTCAAGAAAGACCCGGTCTACGTCCTGAAGCCTTTTCCCAAGCTGAGAAACTTCACGCACCCCGGGGCTCCTCCACGGCTGTCTTCCCACATACCCTCGCGAACGCTCCCCCGGAAGGCTTGCTGGTGGCTAGGCCGCCAGGTCCTGCGTTTCCCGCTCTGGTTCCTGAATCCGCCCGGAGGCGTCCCGTCCCCACGCGATGCAAATCCTCCTCCGCTCCGCCACCTCGCAGCCGGCCTCGCCGGCGCCATCTTGCACCACCTGGGTCGGAAGGACTTACAGGGGTCGCCGACAGACTACGTCACCAGGCGGAAGCAATCCACCGGCCAACTAACGCAGCGCGTGCTCGGAGCTCGACTGCTTCAGCCTGGCGGCCGCTCCGGGAAGAGGGAGCGGTGCCGTGCGGCCATGTGGGCGCCACCTGCAGCCCCGGAGGGCGAGCGTCATGGCGGCGGTTCGCTCTCTCCCCGGGACCCCGGACCTGCCCACGCTGCACGCCAAGCTGCAGGGCCTGCTGCGCTTCCTGAGGGGCGCCCTGCCCATTTCGAGCGCGCACACGGTGGACTTCTACACCGAGTCGCTCTGGCAGGAGCTGGTCGACTTGAACCCCGACGGCGTGCTGGCGGCGCTGAGGGAGTCGGCGGCGGAGGCCCGGCCGCGGGAGGAGGGATCAGGTGACCAGTGGGGCGGGGCGAGGCGGGAGGGGAGGGGCTAGGTGGGGCGGGGCGAGGCGGGGGGGGCGGGGCGGACGGACGCCGCGGCTGCCGCTGCGCCCCCTGGTGGAACTCCGCGGAAGTGGCAGGGACTTCTTGCATGGCTTCCCTGGGAGATGAATGGAGGGATAGGAATAGCCAGTGTGTGTGTGTGTGTGTGTGTGTGTGTGTGTGTGTGTGTGTGTGTGTGTGTGTGTGTGTGTGTGTGTGTGTGTGTGTGTGTGTGTGTGTGTGTGTGTGTGTGTGTGTGTGTGTGTGTGTGTGTGTGTGTGTGTGTAGGGATCTGAATAGCCTGGGTGTGTGTATGTGTATGGAGGGATCTGAATAGGGATCTGAATAGCCTGGGTGTGTGTATGTGTATGGAGGGATCTGAATAGCCTGGGTGTGTGTGTGTGTGTGTGTGTGTGTGTGTGTGTGTGAATGGAGGGATCTGAATAGCCTGTGTGTGTGTGTGTGTGTGTGTGTGTGTGTGTATGTGAATGGAGGGATCTGAATAGCCTGTGTGTGTGTGTGTGTGTGTGTGTGTGTGTGTGTGTGTGTGTGTGTGAAACCTGACAGCCAATTAATTATATATCTGTGTAACAACAACAACAGAGACCAGACTGGGTTATTGACCTTTGAAATGTCTCTGGACCTGATAACTTTTTCAATATAAAATACCCAATTTTTCAAATGCTCAGCTGCTTTATAACCTGATTTATTGGAAGCGTTACTTGGGATTTTCTCATCAAGCTCTTACTAAACTTTTAGGGAAATCCAGGAGTGGAACAAGTTCAACAGATTTTACATCCCAATAGAGGCGATCACAGACATCAGTAATTGCATAAGACAACAACAACAATAATAATAATAATAATAATAATGAAGTATTCCTTCCAACTGGAACTTTATTCTAGTGTCTTCTCCTTTAAAACAGTTTCAGAGTTAAATTTATTATATATAAATGCTCTATGCATTGAGCATTGCTGAGAGGACACTTTTCATATATTTGTATATGTATGAGATATGACACTTTTGAGATACAGCTTTTTTTTTTTACAAATCAAGTTGTTTTCGTGTCTCAGATAAGTTCTCAACATTATTAATCTTTTACACACATTAAATCTATTAGCACAAAAAGGAAGTTTTTGTTATTGTTTTGACGATTTTGTACATGTATGGAATGTATTTTAATCCTATTCTCCCGTCATCACCTTGTTTCAGCCCCTCCCTCTCCTGCTTAACTCCTTCCCTTCTTCTTCCTAATTAGCCTCCTCTCTACTTTAATGTCTTTGTGTGTGTGTGTGTGGTGTGTGTGATGTGTGGTGTGTGTGTGTGGTGTATGTGGTGTGTGGTGTGCAGTGTGTGTGTGTGTGTGTGTGTGTGTGTGTGTGTGTGTGTGTCCTACTGAGTTTAGAGTTGCTTGTATGGTATGAGTGTAGACTTATTTACTAGAGCATGAACAACTTGCCACTGGCTGTATCACTGAGGAAAATGTGTCCTCCTCTCCCGGCACCCATCAACTGGCAATTGCTCCTTGGGAGACTTTTATTCTTACAACATAAAAACATGTATGTATCTCAGTTGTTATATCGCTCTCCAGTTAATCTCTCAAATTCTATAAAATAAAATTCTTATTTTTTTGCCCCAACACTCAAGCTGTTCCTCACTGAAAAAAATTTTTTTGCACGTTTGCATGCTTGTGTGGTATGTGTGTATGTATGTTTTTGTGAGGGATGCACACGCAGGTATGTGTACATGTGTTTTTAGACCTGAGATTGAAGTCCAGTGTCTTTCCTCATTGGTCTCCACATTATACAGTGAGACAGGATCTCATGGTGACCCCAGAGCTTGCCATTTTGGCTATTCTGGCTAGCCAGCTTCTCCGAGGATTCCCTGTCTCTCCCTCCTACAAGCAGGAATTATAGGGAGTGTGCTGGTTAAGTTTGGTCAACTAGATACAAACTAGAATTACTTGAGAAGAGGTAACCTTCATTGAGAAGGTGCTCCCATCAGACTGGCCTGTAGGCAAGAGTGTGGGGGTGTTCTCTTTATTTAATAATTGATGTGGGAGGGCCGGTTCACTGTGAGAGTGCTGCCCTTGGGCAGGTAGGTGGTCTTGGGTTGTATAAAAAGCAGGCTGAGAGAGCGATGGAGAGCAAGCCAGTGAGCTGTGTTTCTTCTCCCCCGTCTTGGCTTTGTTTTTGCCCCCAGGGTCATGCCCTGCTAGAGTCCCTGCCTTGGTTTCCCTCAGTGTTGGACTGTAACTGGGACACGTAAGCCTGATAAACCCTTTCTTCCCCAGGTTGCTCTTGATTGTGATCTTTATCACGGCAGTAGAAAGTTCCAGGACAGGAGGCTGCTGGACTTTGGCCTTCACGTCAGTTTTGGGCAGTGGTTCTCAACCTGTGGGTTACAGCCCTTTGGAGAGTCAAATGACCGTTTCACAGGGGTCGCCTGAGACCATCGGAAAATACAGATGTTCACATTACAATTCATAACAGTAGCAAAATTACAGTTATGAAGTAGTCAGCGAAAATGATCTTATGGTTGGGGGTCACCACAGCGTGAGAAACTGTTTTAAAGGGTCGCAGCATTAGGAAGGTCAGGAACCACTGGTTTGGGGGATCCTAACTTTGGTCTTTATGATGATTATGTAAATTATGTGGCAAGCATTTTACCCACTGAACTTTTTCCCCCCCGCCCTGGTTTTTATACTATGCTGTGTTTCTTGAGGGTTTTTATGGCATTTTAGTGGGAACTAATGCGGTCTTCCATGACTACTATTTCACATAGTATTAAGCACCCCGGAATTACTTTGCTTTTTATCTGTTTTTTTTTTTTAATTTAGCAAATGTGTTTCTATATTTGTCTCATTGTATAGTTTTTATTTACCAACAAATTAAACTATGTAAAGAATCTTAAAATATTATGGTTAATTTTTCTAGTTTTACATTTAATTTAATTTTCATAAATAATGTAGTTCAATGTGCAAACACTTTTGGAATGATTGACTATAATTATGCATTCATTATGATGTTAATATTGGTATGGTAAGGACTGCATGTCAGTCTTTGTTAATATGTATTATTTCATTCAAAAATATTGTTTGTTAATATTGGTATGGTAAGGACTGCATGTCAGTCTTTGTTAATATGTATTATTTCATTCAAAAATATTGTTTGCCTACTCAGTAACATTTTTTTCATTTTATATGCAATTGTAAATTAAACTAGAGTTGCTTAGGCAAAAAAAAAAAAAAAATCCTGCCACATAATTGGATCATATAATTGATTCGTTTTAAAATCAACAATATGTATTGTATTTGTTCTCTTGGTTCACTACTATGATAGACAGATGCAAAGTTCATAGAATTTAGCACAACCCATCTTTAGTTTTCAAAGTTTAGTAAGACAGACTTAACTTTTGGCTATTAAATAATTAACAATGATAAAACCCAACAGTCAACTATTGCAAAAACCAAAACCTTAAAAAGCTTATTAAATTTGAATTAAATAAAAATTAATTTTCTTTTTAGAAAAACACACTCAACTCATCCAATACTTGGAGAACATTGTGCTTTTTATCCAGAAGGAACATACCATGAGGCGTTGTGATAGTGTTGGAATTAATGGGGTTTGAGCCATTATAGTGACGGGGAGGCCTTCCAAATGAAAGACATTTTACATCAGGATGGATGACTACTTGGACATAAGAACGAAGGCACACAGTATATGAAAGCTACGACAAAGATTTTTAACTTTAGCAGTGAATGGAAATGCTGTTTATTAACACAGGAAGTAGAAAAAGGGAAAGATGTATCAGGAATAAGGATGTTTGTAGAAATAAACACAAAATATTTTTATATCCTTGTGAAGATAATTATCAGGAAGGTACTGCTGTCAATATTTTCCTGCAATTCTGGTCCATTGGCTGTGTGATTAACTATTTCCCCAACCCCTGTAACACAGTTATGTCCATAATGTTAGTAGGTATTTGTATCTTATATTGTATCCTGTATGATCTAAATCACTCTTGTCTCTTACCCTAAGATTTTAAGTATTCGGGCTGAAATGAGGTTTTATGCTTCCCTAACAGGCTCAGTGGTGCTATTGAAGTCCTCGTAGTGGCCTCAGTGATTACAACCACTACGGAGTCTTAGGAGAATTCCGTAGTTGATGATGCTACAATAGTAAGTGCATTGAAGTATGCTGTCGTTCATGCATGCATGCATCCATCATCATCCATCCATTCATGCTGTGTGCAAAGTACTTTTGTTTTACAGCTGAACAAGGGACAGTAGAATTACTTTGTTTCTAGACGTAGATACCACAGAAAATCTTACACAAATATTTTACTTTCTTTTCAGAGATATTATTTTGATTTCAATTTCTGGAACCAAGATCACTTCTAGCGGAAAGGCAGATGTTAAGAGGAGTAATGAAGTGGTTACAAAGAGAAGCAAGTGTATAATATCTTAACTTACCACTATAGATTGATCTCTGCCAGAGAAGCTGCCAGAAGTTTCCTGATTTTGATAATCAGGTCCATCAAAGCCCACTGTTATTTTGCTGGCTGTGGCGTGCTCACGGAATGTGAGGATTAAGAGCAGAGTGTAAAGTCAGACGGCCACAGTTTATTTGCCCTGAACTTAGCGTGTGCACATTTGAGTCAGTTACAGTGTGGTCAAGTCTTAGGTATTCCCTCTGCAAATGAGATGAGAGCAATAGTTAACGTGCTCACGTAACAGGTGAAGTGTCTAGCATCATGCCTGGCCTGTGGTAGTAAACGTGCAGTGCCTGTTAGCAGTGGGGCAGTGAGTTATCGTGAAGCCTGATGAAGCTCATCTTCTTTAGGGCTTTATAGGACATTCAGGTACGATAACAGGTAAGTAGCTTGGAAGTTTTACTTGTCGATTATGAATATACACTCATTGACTTTATTTCTAGTTTTAAAACTTTGTGCATTCTTTCTTGAAGATTCTTAGTCTGTGTTTATTTGGCTCTTTTGTTTTCCTGTGTACACTGCTATCTGGTAGAAAAATTTAGAGGTATCTTGGTATCATGTTTATTGAGAATAACCTCTCCTGCTTCTTTCCCATCTTATTTCCTATTTGGTTATGATTTTTAAATCTTATATTTATTGCTGTGTGTATGATATATGATTTGTTAGTGTGGATGCATGTGTAGTATATTTTGGTGGGTCTCTGGAGGTCAGCAAATGACTGCCAGGAGTCAGTTCTAGCCTTCCAGTGTGCGGATAGACTCCGGTGGTCAGAATGTGCAGCAAGCGCTTTTATAAGCCGGCTCATCCGCTCTCCAGTTAACCTGTTTCACATGGGTCTAGTACCCTCTCTTGCAAGATACTGCCCTGCAACAGTGATGGAGGTCACACAGACAAGACAAGTGAAGCAGACACTGGAGAAAGATCAGGAATGTCCAGTAGAGGGAGGTGTAGGCAAAACAATCAAGCCACAGGATGTGCAGATGGAACAGGCAACAGATTTTTTAAAAATGCAGCTTTCCCTGTGGGGAGGATATTTGCACCCAACTAGAAAGTAACTGAAACTCACCGGCACTGTGGCCTCTGTGCTACTGGCTGCCAATCACAGACTTACACAGACACAGGGTCCTGTGAGGACCTGGACATGGGCAATGCCCCACGGCCTTCTCACTTGCTGGATCACAGAAGGAAGTAAAGACAAGATCATTGGCCCTTCTCACTTTCTGTGAATCTCTAAAAGCAGCAAACTATGGTTGTTACAGACTGAATCTCTTAGAAAAACAAAACAAAACAAAAAACCACCTCAGCTGGATTTCAGTGATCAAAAACCAGTTAGTTGTGGAACTCTAGACTGAATAATCTGGTTTTAACTCTAAAGAAATAAACTATGAGATTGAATCAAAATATGTAATCCTTTAAAAATTGACTATGGTTGAAAATGTGGTGCCATTTTAACGTAGGCCTCCAATACCCAAAATTTCTGGGGTGCTTGTAATTAAGCAAATGAATAGCATTTAGTTCAGGTCAAAATGGAATATTTTCAAGACTTTTCAGTAGGATAGCTAAGTTGATTCAGACACTTACTTTTCCAACAGCAACATCACATTTCTTTCTCTTGGCAACATTGCCCAGTAACTGACGAATATAATGGGCCCTCTGCTCACTGCGACTTAATGCTTTTATTCTATCACACTCTAAGAAACTGCTCCCCTGGAACCTTCGGATGTTGAAACTGCTCTTAAACCTGAAAGGCTCACTTAATAGTTGACTGAGTTTTCCCCCCTGCATCATGTCTAAATATTTTGATGTCGATTTTATTACTTTTGGCTGCATCAGGAAATTCAGCTTGTAAAATTTCCTAAAATCTTTATTAAATAAATTCACCCATGGTAACCTTGTGGTTTTATTTTCTGTTTAATTGATTCAAAAGTTGAAGTCACACATCTCTGCTATTTTCTGTTTAATAAAAAATTTAGCACACATTTTACCACCAACTTAGGAGATACTAATTTTTAAAAGATATGAATGGAAGCATCTAGTTTTATTTAGAATTTGAAGATATTCATCAGTTACATTGTTTTCAAGTTTTGTCAGAGAGCAGCGGTTTTCTTTGTGTTTAAGTGGATATTTTAAAATGTAATTATGAGGTCAGCTATGCTGGATAGGATGTCACGGAATATATATTATGATGTTTGTTTGGCTTTGGTAGATTCAAAGTTCTTCCCTAGATTGTATGCTTCCCCTAAATGAATGCTTTGCATACTTTAACAACTGGATTTGTTGATTTTGTGAGCATGGTTTTGTTTTGTTACACATTGATTTAGTTTTTAAAAATACCCTTTAATGAGTGGGCTCACTTGGACTGCTTTATCCATTGAGGTTTTATGAACCACTATGGACAAATTGGAATGAAAAACCTTAGAAATAGATCAATGTCCCTTAACAATGGCATAGAAGAGTAAGACTGCGATACTATTAAACAGGAGTAGGAGTAAGAGGGTACAAAGACTAGCACCTTGAACTGCACAGGTGTCAGTCAGAAAAGATAGCTCATAAGTTAAATAACTACAGTACTCTTCAGACTGAAAACTGCTGCTCTTGTTGCTCCTGGAAAACAAAGACCAAATTTTCATTTGATCTTTAAAAACATCATTGGCGAAAATGCTAAAACCAGGTTTTTCGATAATTTAAATAACAAATGCTAAGGAGCTATTAGTAATATTGCCAGATCTAAAGTTAAAATCTTGTCAGTTGCTGTAAAATCGTCATGGTTCATTTGCTATTTTAAAATCTCAAACAGTTTAGATATTAACTACTGCTCATCTTCCCTTTCTGTCCAATGTTTCAGGTTTTATTGATCTCCCCCAAGTATTTTGTGAAACGTCTCAGAAGCTGATGAGCACGGAAGCCTTTGCTTTGGCCGCCAAGTACTACTCTGTGCAAAGCTTGGGGCTGTGTACTCCTTTTGAGCAGTTGCTTACCGCCCTTCGAGTAAACAAAGAGCAGAGAACTGGTATGTGTGATTGTGACGTGTTTTAGGTTCTTAAAAGCAGTACATGGCAGTATGTTTTATCAATTATAGTCTTAGTTTGTTGCTGGATATTCCAAGCACTGAGAAGTTAGCTCCTAGAGAAGAACAGGTTCTCTTATCCTGTATTAAGAGCACATACAGGTCTCTCTGCTTTTCCCTACTTTAGTTCCTGGATGTCTTTACCACTGTTAGTCTCAAACGCCAGTGGATTGTGCTACTACAGATGTCCAAACCCTTGCATTAGTTTTTATTGCAGTTAGATGATGATCTCTGTCGCTAGTTCTTTTTGGGGGGAACGTGGATGGTAGTTGCTGGGAAAATGGGGGAGGCATAAGTATCAGAAAGTGGGGACAGCCAGAATTAAAACTCAATTGGCAAGATAGATGGAAACGCATATCCACAGTTCTGTTAAATGCCAGTAGACCCGGCAGTTAGACCACAGCGATGAGGAGGCTGTGGTTTTAAAAGCCGACTACTCCATGCTGAGGGACCAGCTTTGGTAGTCAAGCCAGTGGGTTCAATGATAATTACATTAATGCTAGAATAGGAAATACGTGACTTAATTTAGTGTTTACCAAGGTATTCACTGTCTTATCTCATTTGACCTTCATTATTTCACCAACTCTTTATTTTTTCTTCTTCTTCTTCTTTGTTTTGAAAGCTCTAAACTTACAGAACCATTGCTTGAATACTACAGTGAGTCTTGGATGCTTTTGATCTAGAATTGCCATGTTAAAAAACCTACCTATTTGCTGTAAGCACCCCCATAAGCATACTATTTACAAATCTGGATCCTTTGACCATCAGTCACAGATACCATATTACCTGCAAGTATTTTAGCACGTATCCATAAGAACCAGGATGTATTCCCACTCATCCTGTATTATATCAGTTCATTCAGGACTTTAACTTGCCTTTAGTAACATTCTCTCATAAGGAGGCTGGATCCAAATTAGTTCTAGTGTTGCAGAAATTACTTATAGCTTCTTTTTTCTTAAAAATTGTTTTTTAGATTTATGTGTATGAGTGTTTTGCTCACCTGCATGTTTGTGCACAGGTGTGTGCCTGGTGCACACACAGGTCAGAAGAGGGTCTCTGGAACTAGTTTTGAACAGTTGAGAGCTGCCATGTGAGTGTCAGACAATCGCAGAATTTTTTCTTTTCTCTTCTTTCGTCTTGTTTCTCCCGACACTGATGAGTTGATGCATGTAGGAAGGTTTGATTGATTATTTCCCCATCAATAAGTCCAGCTTTGCACTTTTAACTGGGATGCTAATTAAAGGACTTTTTTTTCCTGCTCCTCGTTAAGAGGCACATGTCATTTTGTGCTATTACTACTACTTAGTGTTTGTTGGCAAAAGTGGATCCTCAGAAGCCCTTCATTGTAAAAGGAGCTTATCCCCCTTCTAGTCCAATTTTTATTATTATTATTGTTGTTTCCTTTATTTCTAAGTATTTTAATGAAAATTACTTTATTATGCTCCTCCTGGAGCAGAACAAAGGATTGGGGGCTTTGTGGCTCTGGGTAAGGGCATTCTGGCTGGAATTAAGTTCATCAGCAACATTGCTATTGGCATCGTAGCCAGAACACTAAGTACTTCATCCCAGCTGTTTCTCACTGGCCACAACTGAGTGAACTGGCCTTCCCTCTGCCCTCTAAAACTTGAGGATTGTATGTTGGGTATCAGAGTGAGCAAGAGTAGCATATACAAACGTGAAACCATCCCCAAGATCTGGATGGGTGTTGTCTTATGCCAGTAAAAGAAAATTGACTTGGAATGGTAGGGCTCCTAGCTAGTGCCAGCTGTGTGTGCATGGAGGGAATAGACTCCCATCCTGGAGTGTGTCAGTTTGTTTTCTGGGCCAGGATCTGTCAGCAGAATGCCGTTGTATAACAACCACGTACTCCTGGAAAGACCTTATCAGCAAGGTTTTTACACTTTTTCCATTGAAGAGGAAAGAGGCTCAGCCTCCAAGCAGGCATGCCACATGTGATCACTGCCATGACATACTAGGTTTATTTATTTATTTCTAGCCCAGCCCTAAATTTCAGCTTGCCACCACCCAATTCCCACGTGTCTGATTATGTTGAATACCTTGTTGTATGTGCTTTGTATTTCCATAAGATAGAGTGTGTACTCTAACATGCTGTGTTGTAGAATGTTCTCTGTTTCTATACACTGTATAGTAAAAAATAGCTACATGTGGCTGTTAACAGATGTGCTACTATAGTTTGGAAGTGTGATTTGCATTTTGGCTTTGGTAATTTTAAGTGTAAGTGTAAATAGTTGTGTGGTTGGTGACCACTGTTTTGGATAATGCAGGTAGGAAAATAGCTCATTTGTTCTTGTATTGGGCAGTGTTTTTCTTACGGCTATATAGGAGTTGGTTTTATTTTCATACGTGTGTATTAGAAATGTCTATTTCCACTTTCTTGCTTATCTTTTTACTCTGTTAAAGCTGTTCTTTGAAACAGTTTTTTTGTAGTACAGTTTTTTCATTTATAGTTAACTACTTGTTATAAGAAGAATGATTTTAATTATCTGTGGATATTTTTACTTTATCCAGTCTGAATCATACCCATTAAACTAGTAGAAACCACACAGATATCACAGTAGAATTTATGCCATTTTTACATTAATTTAAAAGGCTGTGAATATCAGGTAACAACTCATTAAAATTCTCTTTCGTAGCAGTATTTTAATTTTCTTTATTTTCATTCAGGTGAAAATGTGAAGGCAATTAAGTTTATGAATACAAAAAAATCTCATGAAGTTCAGGCAATGTCAGAGCTAATCTGCAGTATTGCTGATTACTATGGTTTAAAGCAGGTAAGAGTATTTCCTTGTAAGTATTTCCTATTTTTTGTATCACTCAGATTTCATTTTCTACTTTTACCTTTTATTGGACTGTTGTTCTCCACCCCATCTCCTCTTTTTGACTTTCCTTTCAGTGTTTATTTCACTTGCCAAAGAGATCACATGCAGCACTCAATTCTTCTTTAAAGATCTGCCACTAAGCTATACCAAGCTAGAATAAGGTAAAGGCTATTTACTGTAGTATTGTCCTTCATAACTTTATGCATTTGCATTTATATGAAATACTTTGGAAACCAGTGTTGTGGTTAGAATGTGAGACACCACGAGTAGGCTCATGTATCTGAACACTTGGTCCTGAGTCGGTGATGCTGTCTGTGGAGGTTATGAAGTCTTTAGGAGGTGGAGCCTCCTGGAGGAACTGTGTCACTGGGGATGAGTTGGAGGTTTGTAGCCTGACCCCTTTCCTTCTGTCCCTCTTACTGTGCTTCCTATGTATGAATGAAATGTGAGCACTGCTTTCTGTGTATGAATGAAATGTGAGCATTCTGCTTCCTGTGTATGAATGAAATGTGAGCATTCTGCTTCCTGTGTATGAATGAAATGTGAGCACTCTGCTTCCTGTGTATGAATGAGATGTGAACACTCTGCTTTCTGTGTATGAATGAAATGTGAGCATTCTGCTTTCTGTGTATGAGTGAAATGTGAGCATTCTGCTTTCTGTGTATGAGTGAAATGTGAGCACTCTGCTGTCTGTGTATGAATGAAATGTGAGCACTCTGCTTCCTGGGTGCCAGGAAGCCTGCCCTCACGCTCCTGCTGCCATACCTTCCTGCTGTGATGGAGTTTATACCCTCTGGAAGGGTAAGCCAAAATAAAGTCATTGTCCCCAAAGTTGCTTTTTGTCAGACTAGTTTATCACAGCAATGGAAAGGTAACTAATACAGGAATTGTATCAGGAGTGGGGTCTTTGCTGTGCTAACACTGACTCTATAGCTTTTATGCCTTTGGACTGTTTTGTGGAAGACTTTGGAATGGAAAAGCCATTGAGTACTGTAAAAGAGCTTAGTAAACTATTGTAATGGAACCAGGCGTATGCCTTTAAGCCCAGCACTCAGGAAGCAAAGGCAGGCAGATCTCTGTGAGTTCAAGGCCAGCCTGATCTACATAGTGAGTTCTAGGAGAGGTTCAAAAGCTGCACAGAGAATCCTGTCTCAAAAAACCAAAACAATAATGATGACGATGATGATGATGATGATGATGATGATGATGATAATAAACTATTGTAATGGGAGCTTGGGAAGCAATAATGCTGAGAGAAGGGCAGAAAGTAGACTTCTAGTGTTATGCCCAGATCACAGGGACCCCCAAAAGACCACCATGGAGACCAAAATACCGCATGTAAAAGCAAAGAGCCTTTATTTTCTTCAAGCTCCAGGCTTGGTCTCTCTGTCTGTCTGACACAGGGGTGAGAGCAGAGAGCCCTGAGCCCAGGCAGGGTTGGGTTTTTATCATAGCAGAGGTAGGGGTGAAGAGATTTCCAGGGTTCAGGACCCTGATTGTCTGACAATTGTCTAGGGGTATCTGTAAAACAAAAATAGGTGTGTGCTAGACTCAAGGACATCTGGCCACCTTATCTAAGGGTTGGAATGTTTGGGATGTTATGTCCTTCCCCATTCCTGGGTGGATCCCTGGGTGGTGTTAGCTTAAGGCTTTTCCTGGATCTAGGTGTTGCCTGCCAGTAAGCCTGTCACAGAAGCTGTGTCTAGGCCCCTAACAAAGCCTGTCATGGCAGCTGTGTGGTCAAGCTGTTTTGGGGCCACACTAGCTCATGAGGTTTTATACAGAATCTTAGACTCTATCCTGCATTAGGCTAGGGGCCATCCATGTGATACTTTGCAGAAAATGTAGCTGCATTCTGCCCACTTAGGAGAATTTGCTTAAGGCTGAGTTGAAAATTATGAACTAATTGGTTTTGGGCACAAAAAAAATTTCAAGACAGCATCACATTGATGTGCCACTGTTAATTACTGAATTACTTTTATGGCAGCCTACAGTGAAAGAGAGGCTGTAATTGTTAAAGAAAATGGAGCCATTAAAAAGAGGCTTTCTGCTCTATAGTAGACTAGTAGGGAAGGTAGTATATTAGTGTTCTCTAGGGTAATAGAACATATAGAAAGAATCTCTTTCTCTCTCTCTAGAGAGAGAAAGGGGATTTATTAGAATGACTTACAGACTCTTGTCCAACTAATCTAACAATGGCTGCCTATGAATGGAAGATCCATGAATGCAGTAGTTGTTTAGTCCACAAGGCTGGATGTCTCAGCTGGTCATCAGCATATGCTGGAATCTCAAAGAAGTAGACTCTAGTGCCAGTGAAGGAATGGACTTGCTTGTGAGGTGACAGCAGGTAGGCAAAGAGCAAAAGCTTCCTCTTCCATGTCCTCATTTAGGCTTCCAGAAGAAGGCATGGCTCAGATTAGAGGTGGGTCCTCTACCTCAAATGATCTCTGGATGTGTCTTCCCACCTCAAAGATCCAATTAGAAGTGGATTTTCCCACTTCAAATTAAACAAAAACCCCTTACAGGTGTGCCCCCTCCATGTTTGGGTTTTAGTTAATTATGGATGTGGTCGTTGACAAAGGAGTAGTCATCACAGGTACCTAGAGGGCAAGACTCCATCTAGGATCAAGCTTGTGAAAAAAAAGAGTCCAAGGGGTTTCCTGTTCCTGGAAAGCAAACACCTAGGAAAGCCCCCATCTTTGGCATACAGAAACCATTGAAACTGTGGTCCAGATGGGGCAGCCTCCATCTTGAGCCTTGAACACTTAAACTGACAGTGTTGTCCATATTGTATTAGTTTTGGAGACACAAAAGATGCAAGATTGAGATGGTCCTGTTTCCTTCCATGATTTCAGAGAGCCACTGAGATCTGGCAACATGTGGCTGAGTCAAAGGCCCCATGAGGAAATCTAAAAAGGCCACTGGAAAGGTGAAGTCTAGGTTACTGTGAACAACCTGAGATGCTGGAATGTCAGAACTGTGTCGAATCTGCCAAGGAAGGGCTGCACACAGGTCTCGGAGTCAGTCTAAGAGAGAGATGTACTTTGCAGGCAGCAAAGTTGGAGGGGTAGAGCTATGCATAGCCCTTTGAGAAACTGAATAGGTCCTCAGCTAGGGGTGGTGGCTTTTTAGCCCCTCTCTACTCCATTCAGCTATGTGTTTTAAATACATAGAGGCTGGCAAGATGACTGAGCAGATAAAGCTCCTTACCTCCAAGCCTGACGACCTGAGTTCAATTCCTTGTTTGGAAGAGGGGGGAGAAACATCCTGTGTCCTACATTGTTCTGTGGCATGCACACGCATGAACACACACACATATACACATATATACACACACATACATATAGACTTACACATACACACACACACTTACACATAAATAATTAAATAAAAACAACATAAATTTTAAAATATATCGTCTAAATTTAAATTGTATTTTTTGAATAGCAAAAGTTTTATTTTTAATGAAATATATTTTAACTGTGTTTTGTTCATACTTTTGTGTGTTCTATATATGAAATCTTGGCCTATCCCTAGATCACAAAGGTTTTTTTTTAATGTTTTCTTCCAAAGTGTATTATTTTTATTATTACATTTAGACCTGTGATCCACTTTTAATCTTTTAATTAATATTTGTTTCCTCTGTGAGAAGCCCAGTTCATCCCCCACCTCCCCATTTAGCCATCTAGTTACCACAGTATTATTTATTGAAAAGATTATTTTACACTTGGGCAGTCTGTCTAAATTCTGTTGAGGATTTAAGTATAGATCTATTTCATGACTCTTTCCCCCTGATTTATGTCTGTTCTTACATTACTAATAAAGTGTGTAGATCACTGTTTTATGTTAATTCCTTTTTTGCTTGTGTGTTTGTGTGCGATGTATCACCACGTGTGTTTACATATGTGTGTGTGCTTGTGGCAGCCCAATGCTGACATCAGGTAGATATTTTTGATTACACTCCACTTTATTTATGGAAGCATTGTCTCTTGTTGCACTCAGACCTTGCCAACAAGATTGGCAAGTCAGATTGCTGGAGGAATCTTGTGTCTGCTTCCTGCTGCTTTGATTACTGACGGCTTTCCTGCCTGCTCCACTTCTGTGTGTGTTCTGGGAATCCAAATTTGAGTCCTTGTGCTTGCAGGACAAGCTCTTTATCCACAGAGCCCTTGTCCCGGCCCATTATGTTAATATGGAGCCCTTGTCCCAGCCCATTATGTTAATTTTTGAACTAGTGATATTTTAACTTTATTCTTTCTGAAAGTTGTTTTTGTTATTCTTAGGTGGTTTGCATTCCCATATAAATTGTAATATATGATTTTTAGTGTTTTTAGAAAGCCTTCTTGTTTCAACTAGGATTGTGTTGACCTCTGTGAATTTAAAGAGAAGAATTGCTATCTTAGTATTGAGATTGTTAGTTCATGACATAAGCTATCTCTCTGTTTTAACCTTTCAGGTTTTTAGGTGACATTTTATAGTCCTCAGTATATGGGTTTCTGGCCTTTGTTAAACTCATTACTAGGTACTTTTATGTTGTCTTGTGTCACGACCACATGGACCAGAAGTCACGCCAGCCAGTGCCTCCTCAGTTGCCTCCTGAGCCTCTCTGTGAGCACTCACATCAGTCTGCTGCCCCTGGCTGGGACTCTGGAAAGCAGGCTCAGCAACTTCACAGAGCTAGGGCAGGAAAAAAAAAAAGGAACCAGACACCAGTGAAGACAAGTAGCCTGAGGGATCCAACCTCTCAGAATGCCTCTGTTTTGGTTTCCTCAAAATTCTACAACCAGAACAATGCTGCTGGCTGAGATGGCCTAGCCTCACAGACTACTCCAACCAAAACTTCATATAAGCCCTCCATTTTTCCATCCACACTGAGACTAGACAGCAGCTAGTTCTCCCAAGATGAGACCTTTATCCCAATTTTCTCAGGGTCCCCCAAAGATGCTATCGCCGCCCCCCCCAAACAACAGGAAGCAGTCTAGAGAACACAAGAGGTGGAGTATATGGTTTTTGGTCCTTCAATGAGTTATGGATGTTTGTCATTGTTTAGAGGGGTTGGTTACAAGTTTTTAGTCATCATAAGAAAGAAAACTAAGCAAGGGAGGTTGGATTCAGGGATCTTGTTCTACAAAGAAAAAGGGGGATATAGGATTGACAGGATAAAAGGGTAGATTATTGAATTACTTTTAAACTAAAAAAGCAACTACTAGTCTTGAAATTTTTACATTGGTATCGATTTTTGTATATTGATACAAATTTAAGGGTTTTCTTGTTATACTGTATATATGTTTCTACTCTTGTTTTAAGTTATTTTGTATATTGATGCAAATTTAAGGTTCTTTTTTTATACTGTATATATGTTTCTACTCTTTAAAATATTGTATATTCATACAAATTTAAGGGTTTTCTTGTTATACTGTATATATGTTTCTACTCTTGTTTTAAGTAATTTTTGTGTATTGATACAAATTTAAGGTTCTTTTTTATACTGTATATATGTTTCTACTCTTTAAAATATTGTACCGATGTAGCTCATTTAACATTGTAATGTAAATATCTAGTCCTTGAAAGTTATTATTACAAACTATTTAGGATAATTAAGATATACAGGTTAGTAGTTAGTCATCTAACAATCACATTTGTGGCCATGTTAAGTATACGTTTAAGGTCAAAAATATTTTAGATAGATAGATGGTCTTCAAACACTTCAGAGACCTACAGAATATGGCATTTTAATGTTTTAATAACATAAGGCTTTTTATGACAATGAGACACATCTGCTCCTGCCAGAACCAATCTACTTTTAAAAAGGATTATGGGCATTGAAGAACCTCCATATAGAGTTTGCTTTCATTGTGGCAAGGTTAGTCACTGGACAAGAAACTGCCCTTGCCTCGACTGCTGACAGTATGCTGTCCAAATTGGACAAACAAGGCACTGCCGAATTTTGCCAAGACATAGTAGGACATAAAGTCTTTCAGAATTTCCTGCTTCATAGAAAAGTCTGTAAGATATTCTAGACCTGTAGGTCAAAATTGGATGTCCCAGTATTGCAGAGGAACCTCGAGTGGCTGTCCAGGCAGCCAGCCCGTCTGTCATTTCTATAGTTTTGGAACTTGTTTGCTCTGCACTTCCTGTTTGCTCAGGTAATATTATGTCTTCCTCAGGTCTCTGATAGAGCTGTAGATAGGATAGTTATAGTTAAAGTTTTCCTTGTTACCAAATTCAGAAAGAAACTCATAAAAGAAATGTAAAATGCATAAGGTTGAGAGACATAAGAGCTTAAGTTGTTTAAGAAAATGTTTTTTGGTCGAAAAAGGTATTTTTAGGATGGTAATACAAGTTATGATAAAAAATGGTTTTGGTGTAAAACTTTAGACTCATATCTGAGATAGGATAGATTATATAAATGATATATTACATTTGCTTATTCATCTTAATAAAATATCTGGAATGTTTCTACTACCATTTAACTAACTAAAAAATCCTGAATTCATTCTTTTTTGTTTTCCTCAGATAATTGACGTGGGTTCTGGTAAAGGCTACCTAAGCTCCTTTTTGTCCTTAAAGTATGGTTTAAATGTTTATGGCATCGATTCCTCAAATACTAACACTCATGGAGCTAAGGAGAGAAACAGGAAGTTGAAGAAACACTGGAACCTGTATCATGCTCAGACAAGAGGAGATGCCCATGGACCGGCATTAAAAATGCCGGAAGGAAAGGAAGTGCAAAAGGAAGTAAAGTGTAAGGGAGGTTTTGAGAGTGCACCGACGAACACTCTTGTGACTCAAGACTTGTCTGCCAATGTTTTGCCAGAGTTTTCAAAGTCAGCAGGTTCGGTCATTAGGCAACGACAAGGAAATCTCCATGCTCAGCCACTTGAAACTGCCTTGTCTCTCATGGACATTTTGCCTGTTGATGCCGTTGAACCTACTTCATCCCAGGTACACAACACCGAGATGTTGGAAGTGAGGAAATGGAGAAGAAAGGTGACGACATCCAAACCTAGTGACTCAAGTATATATTCACCACTGACTTCTTTTATCACTGCTGATTCAGAATTGCACGACATTGTTAAAGATCTGGAGGTGAGTCTACTTTTGAATCCTCTGCTTTGAAAGAATGCTGTCAATATGGAATACAATTTGAAGAGCTTGTTGTTGTACTTAGGTGATATTATCTGACACATCAATTCTAAAGATCCAGAATAAAATCCTAAGATGGCTTTCTTTGTACCCAAAACTGTCAAAATTTAATAAGCACATACTATATAATACAAAATCCTCTACTCATTTCGCTTCTACATAGAAGAGCTAGCACAAATGCTAGTCAGTAAGCCAAATTATCATATCCACAGTTCAGAGACTGTTAAAATTCTAGTCCAAGAAAAGTCTTAGTGTTTTCACAATTTTTATTGTTTTGAATTGACACTTATAGTAATATTAGATGTTCATGAAGTACAACAGGTTTTCATGCATACACACTTGATCAGGTCAGGGCAGTGAGAACAGATAAAGAGGTAATTAGCATAAATTTATTGACAGACATGCAATGTCCTAGAGCAAGAATAGCCTCTGAGAATTCTTTAAGGCTGTAATGTTTTCTAAGTTGTCAAGTTATATAATTGAAAGACAGTACATCTTAAGTACCCTATTATATGTTAAAACAGTATTTTCTAGAAGCTTCTACAGATTATGTAGCCTAACTTTTTTATAAGACAATGTATCTTTTGAAGTTAATATTATTCTTTTTTTTAATTTTTAAAAATCTTCCTAAAAGTTATGGCTAAACAAAGTGCCAGAAATCTTTATACATTCAAATCTTTGTTTTATATGGTCTTTACAAAGAGAAGTTTCCTTCGCCACAGAGATTTTTTATTAAGATTTTATTGTTATTTCTAAATTATGTGCATATATGAGTCTCTATGTGGATGTTAGTGCAGCAACTACATAAGCCAGAAGAGAGGGAAATGCCATGGATCTAGAGGTATAGGCGAGTGGTTAAGGCTCCCAACCTGCATGCTGAGAACTGAACTTGGGTTCTCTGCAAGTGTAGTACATGCTTTTAACCAGTGAGCATCTCTCCAAAGCCCCCTTCCTGCCAGATACATAAAAGAGGTACCAGTTAAAGGAATATTAGTCCTCATGAATTTAAAAGGAGTAATTAGGCTATCCCATTAAAATTCAAAATTTAAGTATATTTTGTCACTTCAGTTTTCCAAAATAGTCTTGGAATTATATTACTAGATCCGTACAACCTGAGCGTAGTGGCACACCTCTGTAGACAGCATAAAGACCGAAGTAGGACGATCCTGAATTCAAGGACAGCCTGGATTAGGTAGGAAGACATTATAAGGAGTCTGTAACAAACCGAAAAGTTAAATAAATTTGCAAAATCATCAACTAGACTCTGTTTCTCAAGTTTATGTTCTTAGTGATATTGATATATTTCATTTGTATAATTGGATTTATTGGTAATTACCTAGTTCTTTGATACCTCTTAAACAGTATCATCAGTATTTTTGTTTGTTTTCTTTCCTTTTCTTTTCTTTTTAATTCTTTTCTTTTCTTTTCTTTTGAGACAGAGTCTTGCTATGTAAGCCTGGCTAGCCTATAACTCATTATGTAGCCCAGGATAGCCTCAAACTCATGGCAATTCTCTTGCCTCAGCCTCCTGAGTACTGGGACTATAGCCTTGTTACCACCATGCCTTTAAAACTAATTCTAATTGGTACTATAAAAATTGAGCTGTTGGCTGAATAATTCTTTACATAGGGAATTTGATGACTTTTTTTGTGTGTTGTTGTGAAGAAAACATGAGAAATTGCTATGAGTATATTTATATCATAAATATAATAATAATGTGACCCATGGAATGTCTGTGTTTAAGTGTATCTTCTTAAAACCTCAGATAATGCAACTTTCCTAAAAGGCTTTAGTTCCAAATTACAAAAGTATATGGACACAAATTGACTTCATGAAAGGTCCCATTTGCTCCTCTTTAATTCATTTTATGATTCATGTTAAACAAAGCAATAATAAATTCAACTATGGGATGATTTTTAGATTGACAAAATTCTGTGCATGTATACATTTGTACCAATTTCATGTAAGTACATTTAAATTAGAATTTGAGTAATTGGAAAAAGCATTTCATAAGACAATTTTTATATAAAATTCATGTTTGAAAATTGAGAGCAAAAATACATGTCTTGATTTTTATTAAATTTGGTCAACGAATAAACTAAACATATTGGCATTATGCTAGAAATGACAATTTGTACTTTTATGTTTCTTATAACCAGGCTTTACAAGGTAGGCAGCCTGAATAAGTTCAATCAATAAAAGAATTTGCCTAGGATAGTCATAGTATCATATAAACATCTCAACTCAGGTTTATCGAGTAGTTGCATTGTTCATCCAACCTTAACCTTTAATGTGCAGTATCGAGCTGTTAAGCAAATGTTAGCTGTAAAAGAAATGAGAAAAAATACAAATGAAGAAATTAAAAAACAAAACAAAACAAAATAGTAGCTGTAGTGAAAGTATGGCCATTTTGCCTAAAAGGAATAATAATTTATTTTGCATATAAAATGATTTGTAATACTTTTTATGTAGAATTGATCACTTAAAAGTTCACATATTTGAAAAGACACTTAAAATCTTCACATGTATAGTTTTAAACTCTTCTTTTAATTGCCTTTTGTTGTTTTGTTGTTGTTTTGCTTTGTCTCTAAAGGACTGTTTAGTGGTGGGTCTTCATACTTGTGGTGACCTTGCACCAAACACTCTACGGATATTTGCATCCAAGTCTGAAGTCAAGGGAGTTTGCAGTGTGGGTTGTTGCTACCATCTCTTATCTGAAGAATTTGAAGACCAGCATAAAGGTAGTAAGCATTCTGTGTGTCATAATTCTGACTCATTTCAGTTATTGTAGCTATTTTCTATTTCTCTTTTGGTCATTATTGTATCTTGATTGATTTGTCTTGTTTTGTTTTTGAGAAAGCAGCTCACTGTGTTGTAGTCTTAGATGTCCTATGGCTCACTATAAAGACCAGGCTGGCATGAACTCAGAGATCCATCTGCCTCTGCCCTCTGAGTGCTTGGATTAGAGGCTTATCACCATGCCCAGCCATTATTGTGACTTGAATTAGCAATTAAGATAACATCAAATTTTCTTGCAAATTTAACATTAATAATATTAAGGGAATTAGATAAAATATCATTCTTTGACCATAAAGTGGACTTACTGAACACTAAAAATTTTGCAAATACTTATAATTTCACTAATGATGTATATTTTGTAGGACTCATATTTATAAATACTTCTAAGTTTTGCTTTGATTGTGAGAGTAAAACTGTTGTTTTCATCATAAGAACAAAAATTTATTCTCATTTCCAAAGTTTTCGCCATTTCTGAAAAATTAATATTTCTTTCTTAAAAAAGAAAAATCAGCATACGTAGATTTCTGTGAATTTAGAAAGCTTTAGTAAGGTTGTTTTTATTAAAATAGTAATATTCAGTCTGTGCTCTCTGGACGCTGCCTGCAGAGAAAAATGAAAGATGTGTTGGCAGCTTCTAATATAGCATTTGCTTGGTGCATTTTATATGATAAATCTCTCTATAAGATATAGCTTCAAAACTGCTGTTTCAAATTTGTTTCAATAGATTTTACACTATTAATAGTAGTAGTTCTCTCATATATTAGGTAGTATTGTAATCAAAGTTTGAAGAGGAAATTGTGGTGGTTTGAAAAAAAAAAAGGTCCCCATAGGCTCATAAATTTGAATGCTTGGTCATTGGGAGTGGCACTACTTGGCAGGAATTAAGAGGTGGGGTCTTGTTACAGTAGGTATGGCCTTGTTGGAGGAAGTGTGTCACTGGGGGTGGGCTTTGCGGTTTCAAGTGCTCAAGCCAGGCCCAGTGTCTCTGATGCCCATAGAGTCAGATGTAGAACTCTCAGCTGCCTCTCCTGCACCACCTCTGCCTGCATTCTGCACTGCTTTCTGCCACGCTGATAATGGACTAAACCTCTGAAACTGTAAGCCAGCCCCAGTTAAATGTTTTCCTCTCTAAGAGTTGCCACAGTCATGGTGTCTCTTCACAGCCATAGAACACTGGACAGATATGTTAGAGAGGCACTGGGAGAGCCTGAAGGAATTGAACAACTGGTATACCCATGCACTTATTGACTCCCCCTTTTTCCCCTCATGTCTTAGTTACTTTTATATTGACGTGACAAAACACCATGACCAGGGCAACTTAAAAGAGTTCAATTTGAGGCTAGCTCACAGTTCCATAGGGTTAGACTCCATGACCATGCCAGGGAGCATGGCGCTAGGCAGACAGTATGAGGCTAGAGCAACAGCTGAGACATATGGACAACATATGTTGGACATATGGACAACAAGCACCAGGCAGAGAGAGAGGGCTACCTGGGAATGGTGTGGGCTTTTCAAGTCTCAAAGCGCACCTCCAGGGACAAACTTCCTCCAACAAGGTCATACATCCTAACCATTTCCAAATAGTTCTACCAACAGGGAACCAAACATTCAACTATATGAGCCTCGAGGGGCCATTCTGATTCAAACCACCACATTCCACTTCGTGACTTCTATAGGCTTGTGGCTATGTCATATTGCAAAATGCATCTAGTCCATCTTCAAAGGTCCCTGTAGTCTTTCATAATCTCTACAGTTTAAAAGTCAAAGTCTCTTCTAAAACTTCTAATTAAGAAAATCTCTTAATTGTAACTCCCTATAAAATCAACAACCAGATTGCATACTCCCAACATACAGTGGCACAGAATGTAGTTTACCATTTCAAAAGTTAGAAGATAGGACCAAAGCAAGCCTGAAACTCAGCAGGACAAACTCCCAAGTCCTCTCTAATGTCAAAGAGTTTAGATGGCTCCACCCTTTCAGCTTTGCTGACTGTAACGTATTTCTCTCTCTGGCTGGTTGCACTCCCTGTGTATAACTTTTCCTGGCAGACATCTATGGCTCTGGCAGTTGCAACATTTTGGGGTCTCCAGTGCAATCCAGGCTTCACTTTTACAGCTTCATGCAAGTTTTTTCAGGCCTCCATGCAGAAACTCCCCAACCTCATGCTTGGTTTCAGTGGCTTTCTATAACTATGAAGGAAAATTCCACAACCCCCTTGCTCCTGTGTCCTCCATGACTCTAAATCCAAACCCATGTGACTGATGCTTAGTCCAGATTGCTCTCAACACCTCTGTCTTCCAGGCTCTTACTAGGATGTCCCAGTAAGCCCAGGATGTAGCAGTCAACCACTTTCTTAATCCTGAGTTCCAAAGTCCTCCCAAAAAGTAGCATAGTCAGCCTATCACAGCAGTATCCCACTTCCTGGTTCCAACTTCTGTCCCAGCTACTTTTTTTATTGGTTGCTAAGATACCATGACCAAGGCGACTTACAGAAGAGTTTATTATTGGGGTCTTATAGTTTGAGAGGGGGAGTCTATGACTATCATGGCGAGGGATATGGCAGCAAATAGACAGGCCTGACATTAAAGGTTTAGCTGAGAGCTCACATCTTGAGAAAACAACCCTGAGGAAGTGAGAGCTAACTGGAAATTACATGGGCTTTTGAAACTTCAAAGCCCACCCCCAGTAACACACTTCTTTCAATAACACCACAACAACCCAAAGAGTTCCACCAACTGGGGACCCAGCATTCAAATATATGAGTCTATAGGGACCATTCTCACTCAAACCACCAGATTTCCCAGAGAATAATTTGGTAATGAGCCATTAGAGAATGTACATGATTTCTTGTGTGCAGAATTAACCATATCAACTTAAACATATTGATAAGAATGAATAATGTGTTGAGTTTAAGAGAGTATTTCAAAGAAGTCATCAAGTACCGGGGCAAAGCACTCTTTTTTGTCAGAGCAGCTGCATTTTATACAAGTGAGAAGGAAGGTATCTTAGTTACTGTTTCATTGCTGTGAAAAGACACCATGGCCATGGCAGCTACTATAAAAGAAAACATTTAATTGGGGCTGGCTTACAGTTTCAGAGGTTTAGTCCATTATCAGCATGGTGGGGAACTGGTAGCACACAGGCTTACATGGTAACCAAGAGTTCTACATCAGGATATGAAGGAAGCAGTAAGAGAGAGCCACTGGGCCGGCTTGGCTTGGGCTTTTTAAACCTCAAAGCCCACCCTCAGTGACACACTTCCCCTAGCAAGGCCATGCCTATTGCAACAAGGCTACACCTCCTAGTCCTTTCAAATAGGGCCACTCCCTGGTGACTAACAATTCAAATACATGAGCCTCTGTGGGCCATTATTCAAACCACCGACTCTTTTTAAGGTGCTAGACTTGACACTTTAGGTATAATAAAGGAAGAACTCAGGGAGTAGCTCATAAACATTAATACTCGAGGAAAGGGCTAAGATGCATAAAGAGGTGACAAACAGTTCAGTTCAGCAAACATTCATGGAATGTCACCTGTTTCCAGTCTGTTTTCAGTGGTGATAATACAAAATATATGAAATTCCATCTTTGCCTTTGAAGAACTTCTTCAAAAAAAATAAATAAACTTAATTCTAGGAACCTTCCTAATAACTTTATAAGTTGTAAAACTAATTTAGACTAGGAAGTGGGAGAATAGAAAAAAATTTAAATACAGAGTCCCCATGCACATTATTTTTTCCTCGAAGTCTTTCTAGAATAAAAATACACATAGTTATATACACCTTTTGTGTTATTATATTTTAACAAAGAACCATATAAACTGCTGTGGGATGTCTTTCTGTATGCTGTGAATACCTTCTGGCTACAACTGTTCTGTTACCTTACATTTCTTTATATACTTTGATGGCCTTTCTATATCTGTATAGAGAATATTCTCTTAGTCTTCTTTTGATGATTCCAAAATATTTATGTACCATGTTTATATGTAGAATGTTTGTTTAAAATGAACAAAAATGTATAGATGGTGGTTGTGGTGGTCTGAAAGAAAATGGTCCCCAAAGGGAGTGGCACTACTAGGAGGTGTAGCCTAGGTGGAGTGGGTGTGGTCTTGTTGGAGGAAGTGTGTCAATGTGGAGGCGGGCATTGAGGTCTCAGAAATGCTTAAGCCATGCCCAGTGAGATAGTTCACTTCCTGTTGCCTGCAGGATCAAGATGTAGGAATCTCAGCTCCTTCTCCAGCACCATGTCTGCTTACATGCTGCAGTGTCCCAACATGATGGTAATGGACTAAACCTCTGAAAATGTAAGCCTCCCCATTAAAAGTTTTCCTTTATAAGAGTTGCTGTGGTCATGATGTGTCTTCACAGCAACAGAAACCCTAACTAAGACAAGAGGTCCATTTTACTGTGTGGAAAACACAAAATATGACATCAGTGTTCAACTCTGGTTTTTTCTAACATGAGCTTCAGTGTAGTACTGTAAATGCTCTGTAGTGTTATAAATATAGAATATGTCATATATCTTAGTTATAAAACAGTATTATATCTGGAGCACAGTAGTATATCCATCTCAATCTAAGGGGTTAACAGCATGTTCCAGTACAGCTGTGTGCAGTGCATTTTGACAGATTACAGAGTTCAATCAGGTAAGGAGATAGGAGGCTGCAGTAGAACAAGGTGGTGAGTATAAAGTCAGACCTACTACGGTTTTACCTTCATGGTGAGTGTTTCTCTTCATAGTTGTTATCTGTCCTGCCCTGTTCTTACCCATACTTGCTTTGTAAGCAGTAACTGTCTTAATGTCCATTTCATTGCATTTGTGAGGCACAATTTTCATAGTAAATGAGTCCTCTTTTATATTGTCATTTACTTTATAGGCTTTTTTCTAAAGAATTTCTTGGTTCACCTGATTTCTTTGTTTGGTTAGTATGTTGTTATTCATAA